TTCACCTTAAAAGCTCACAGAAGTCTGAATATGCTTTTGATAGTTTAGCATTGCCAAACCTCTTCATATTAGAAAAGGAACTAAAAGCATTCAAAATTTTCCACTGTAGACAAGATTTTCTTCCATGTTCACTGAAGATATCACCCAACCCCTGCAATGCACAGCAGGGATGGTGAAGTTATTTGCAGGAGCTAAGATTTGAGTCACTCACTTGCTCCTTACAGAAGGTGTTAAAGCAATTTGGAAAAACACAGTGGAATTCTCTTGCCAGTTTTCAGTGGAATCACTTATCTGGTCCACATATAAGGCAAAAAATAATTAAGAAATCTCAGCCACACAATGTGGGTTCTTACAGATTTGCAGAGAAGGAAGGGTACCCTCTATAAATTACCAGACACACAGCCAAGTCTCCACACTCAACTTCACCATCAACCTCTAAACGTCTTCTTTGCTCCAATAACTTACATTAAAAAAAAATAAATTGAAAGAAGGTGTTTGGTTTTTCTATTCAAGAGCATTAAGAGTCACTTCAAAACTTTGTTATGGACAGAAAAGATTCTTCCTTGTCCCTAAAACAGCAGAAATATTGTACATGCTACCTAACTATTTGCCTTGAATAGATACAGACTCCTTCCACCCTCAAGCAAGGAAGGCAACTTACATTTAAACCCAATCACTTTTGTCACACCCATCATCCTTAAATACATACTAACAAAAAAATATACTCTCCTTATTCCTCTGTGTGTCTGCCACTCCCTTGAAATTTGCAGAGATGACACCCAACTGCAGGAAATTGCAGGGAAATGCTTTCCTAATTTTAAGTAGCCTCCAACACAAGTCTTTATAAGCAGTGTCACCCCTGTTGGTGAGCTCAAATTACACACACGAAACGCCCCCAAGCAAAACGCAGCTCAGTGACTCCCACTGGAGCTTTATCTGCTCCAGGCAGGCACCAGATAAAGGCACTGCAAACACTCCACAACTCTTCTTTCCACCTTAACCATCCATCCAACGATTTGCTGGGATCCACACCCAATACAGCAAGATCTCACTTAAGGATTCCATGTTTTCATTTGAGAAGAAGCTCCATATGGCATGGTGAAAAGCCAGGATTTAAAATCCCTCTCCCATTTCCACATCTGTGCATGGAGACAATGTCTCTTTAAGGAAGAATGCTTGCAGGCTGCATCTCATTACTATTTCTTAGTGTGTCTGTAATTCCAAGTTAAGGCACACCTAGTGAGAATGAGCGCTCACAAGAAGATCTGCTGGCAAACCTCATGCTCAATGAATATGGGAACTGAGTACACACAATTTTCAGCATGAATCCAGCTCTGAAATGATCCAAGTCTTTTCCTGCTCGTATGCAGCAGGCCTTTCTGCTCAAGCAATCCCAACTATTTTGGGGAGAATTATAAATCATAGATGGTGGGGGACTTATGAGTGTACAATCCATGTTATTTGTGATTATTGCAACTCGTTCACTGCTGCATACCTATTTCTGTGAATAAATAACTGGTGTTTTCTGCCACTAGGGCAAATCCACAATAGTTGTTGCTATAGAGCTATAGGAACACCACTGCCAAGAATTTAGAAGACTGGAGATGGTCAAACATTTAGTTTTTAAATACAACTACTCAGAGGCACCACGACATACTTTTGATTAGCAGATCTGTGGGAGCTCAGCTTGAAGATAAGTACTGGCTTTCACATAAGAAAGGTATTAAAACACAAATAACAGGCAATCAAGTTTCTTTCTTCCCATCCCCACTCCCCCACACAAGCACTTAACAAGCTGTTTGTAGAACTGTCTGATAGTCCAGCTATCACAAACCAAGGGATTTCTATGGAAACCAGCAAATTTCAGTTGTGTCCTGTCATGGTTTGATAATCACTTCTGTATTTGAATGAAAAAAATTACAAGGGCAATGGAAATTACAGGTATCTCACCTTCAGAATTCCAACAACCTCTGCCTGCTCTCTTTCTGCAGGAGAGTGCTAGGATAAATGCACGCTCTACTTCATTGATATAAAATGAAACTTTTAAGACAGGAAAGAGTGTAAGAAATAGGATCATCCTGAATTGGCAGAAAATTAAGAACATGGCTGACGTTCCTATAAAAATATATATTCATTTCAAAAACATATATTCATTTCCTATTAAAAAAGCTTAGACACGGAATCATAATTATTATTTACAAGGTTTTTCTGTAAATCATCAGTTTAGACTAGTCTCATCTAAACCAAGCAAACAGCAATATTAGCTACTGGATGATGAAAAAATAAGTAACTTTCCAGTTTCTTTTAACCTTTCCATATTTTTTTTTTGGTTCTGTTTTTAATGATACTACGTTTAAAAGCAGCTGTAGCTCATTTCTAAAATGAAAGATATTTTGTATTGTTTTTACTTCCTTCAGAACATTATCTGCATTTTTATATAATAATTCTGAACACTAAACTCTACCTTTTAAATTCATTGTTTCATGCTTTTTACTGCAAATGTAAAGAAAAAATGTATTACAGAAAAAAATTGCATGTTTGATCTAAACTATCATGGAACATCAGATATTAAAAGCACATTGCATGTGGTTTCAAGTATAGATTTTATGGAAAGTCATGAAACAACCCAGTTAAGCCTATTTTAGAAGATTTAACTAGAGCAGCTTTTTATTTAAATAGAATAAATGTTGTGGAACTGTACCTAAAGTTAGAGACTGACACTGAGTTCATTTAATGACACAGCATTAAGCACATGCAAGTTTCTTTCATTTCTGAGATACAATCTAATAAATTTATGGTACCAGGGAAAAGAGTTGAAGCTTAAAGTGTAAGAATATAAACACAGCATTTGAGAAATAACATTGCTCTGCACTCAAATCAAGGTTAGTGGCAAAATCAAGAGCTAACTGGCAGTGCATTCAACCTGCCCTGAATATGTGGTGAAAAAAGATTTATAAAAAAACCCTAACATGCCAGCTCTGAAAGTTATCATTCAGCAACCTCAAAATCTACACAGAAATTAGCCTTCCCAGCTGCACTGTGGACTCTGTTGGCAGAATCAGTATTGCTGGTCTGCAGCTAGAGAAAGAAAAAAAAATAACATGTATAGAATTAGACAATGGATTATTCATACAGAAATTAGAGAAGGAGGAGAGCATTTCACAAATTGTCCTAATGCTACCTTCAAGGTATACCAGGGACACATATGGAACAGGATGGAGCCATAATGCACGTCTCCCAAACACTTTGGTTAAGGCTCCTCACTCTTCAAAAGCCCCATCTCAAAACCACTGACTCTTGGCTGAAGGCAACAAGAAAAAAATATTTTAAATCTCTGTGATGTGTCTGAGGAAGTGGCTGAGAAAGCATTACTCTAGGCCTAAAGAAAAAACCCTCCAACTCTCACCCCCAAAGCCTTAGCCTTACTATCTTTGGTCCTAGGCACCTTCAAGAAAGAAACATCCTGAGTCACAGGAGATTTTACAGAAATAAGCAGCATTTTATGGATATACAGAACCAGCTCTAGGACTGACATCACTTTTCTGTAGAAAGGAATCCATGAGCAGTACTGAACACAGCACTTAGTGCAGCCTGCCGAAAGCCATTGTTTAGTATTTACTCGAGTTCTTCTAATTTCTACATCTGCCTCCAAAAATTCCCCACACATAAAGACTCGTGACATTCCTGCGGTGAGACAGAAGCCACACGAGAGCATCAAAGTTAGAGAACGAAGTAAACAACACATCACGGCATTCTTTCGGCAAGAAAAAAAAAAAAAATCCCAGGGGGAAAGAGAGTCAAGAGGGGGTAGAGAGTGGAGAGAAGCTGGTTCCTAAAGCCGGCAGCTGCTGAAGCGCCCCGGGGGCTGCAGAGAGGGGACGCTGACATCTCCCTATCTCCCTCCAGGACACAGCCCGCGGCCAAGGGCAGAGCACCACCCGCAGCTCGTCCCTGAGCACCACCGCGACCCCAGGGCCGGGTTTAGGGGAGGAGGAACGGGGAAGGCAGAGCCCGAGGAGCCGCGGCCGGACCCGGCCAGAGCCGGGCGGTAAAACGGCCGCCAGAGCCACGCGCTGTGCCCGCTCCTGCTGCCCGCCCCGTGCGCCCGCTTAACCCCGGTTAAAACTGCCCAGCACCGGGGGCTCAACTCCCCCGCCCCGAGACCCCTCCGGGCCGCCGGGCCCGGCAGCCCCTTCCCCGCGGGGAGGGCCCGGGGAACAAAGAGGCGGCGGTGCCGGCGGGAGATAGCGCCCGGAGGGAGCCGCACTCACTTCCTCTGGGCCTTGTCCTTCTTGGCTTTGGTCCGCTTCTTCCGGGCCTGCAGCGCCAGCACTGAGGGAGAGAAGGAGAGAGAGGCGTGAGGGCGGCGGGCCCTGCGGGGGCCCCGCGGGGCGATGGAGGCCGCGCCGCGCCGCGCTCACCTTTCCGCTCCATGGCCGCCACCGCCCGGCGGCCCCGGGCGCCTGCGCCGGGCACGCGCGGCTCGGCCGCCTCAGCCGCGCGGAGCCGCCCCTGCCCCGCCCGCCCTGCGCCGCTCCGGCTCCGGCTGTGGAGGCGGAGGCGGCCCCGGCAGCGGCTCCGGCACGGAGCGGTGCGGCCGCCGCCCCGAGCCGGAGGGTGGCGGGTGGTGCTGCCGGTGCTGCCGGTAGTGCCGCGGGGCACGGTGCGGGCTCCGTTTGGCACCCGCCGCTCGGGGCGTGCGCTGTCCTCCCGCGCCCGCTGACCTCCCGCACCCGCCCCCCGGAACACGAACAGCGGCCCTTTTCCCTGGGAAGGAAAACTCGCCAGCCCGTTCCTGATGTCAGTTTGTAGGGTGCGCTTGGGACTGTCAGGGCAGCACGACTTTGATGTAGGGGCAGCCCCGGTCTGGGACATATCCTTCGATTTTCGGATTTTTTTGCAGTCAGCCACCCCCTCTGGGCCATATGCCCCTGGGCAGAAATTCCAGCCCTTTTCCCTGTGAAGGAAAACTCACCAGTCCAGGTTCCTGATGTCAGTTTGTAGGGCTCCCTCGGGACTGTCAGCAGCACAAGTTCGGGGTGGTGGCAGGTTGTATCTGGGATATATCCTGCGCCATTCGGATTTTTGCAGCCACAGGCCCCTGAACACAAACACTGGCCCTTTTCCCTGGGAAAGAAAACTCCCCAGCCCAGGTTCCTGGTGTCAGTTTGTAGGGCTCCCTTGGGACTGTCAGGGCACCACAAGTTCGAGGTGGTGGCAGGTTGCATCTGGGACACATCCTGCACCCTTTGGAATTTCAGGAGGTGGCCATGATCATCCGCATGTCTGGGGATCTGTTTCTTCTAGTTCAGTGCAGTGGGAGAGCAGCCTGGGTTTCTGCAGCAAGCCCTGCCAGGAAAGCATCGTGTCATCCCACCAGATGGGAAGAACATTAGAACATTGCTGCATGCAAAACAACTGATCTTGTTGCAACTAGGTCAGGTAAGAACTTCAGGCTGCTAACAAAAATAGGCCTTTAAACTCTGACTTCTGTGGATTTTTAGAGGTATAGGTGGAATATTTGGCTATAAAGCAGGTGCTTTGTCACTTCACAGCCCATGTCCAGGGATTTGTGCTTGGCTGAACACAGAAGCCTTGTGTCTGTATGTGGGAGCAACGTTATGGCACTGCACACCTGTATGGGGAAAAAGATCAGGATTGACTGGACTTCCTCTCAGCAGGATATTTGTTTTGCAGCATGAATACCCATGACTTGCATGCTGACATTTTGATGTCTGATTTGTCCACTGGTGCTAAACTCTGTAGTCATTTCAATAGGAAGGGAAGATTTGGAACTTTGCTGAACAAGATGAAAAAAAAAACAAACAAACTCTTAAGTTTTCAGTGGAACCTCCTGTGCCCACCAGGGTTTGCTGTGTTTGCTCTCTGCAGGCACAGGTGTTATCCCAGAGCTGGCACACACCATGGTCCCAGGTAGGCACCTCTGTGCCCTTGCATGCCACTCAGATGAATCACAAATCCTCTGTGTGCTGTTCACCTGATAGCTGGAGAAGCCCAGAGCACTGGATACATCAGTTGCTTGACCTAATTAACACTGCAGAAAAAGAGGGGATGGTATTTTGATTCCTCCTGTTCTGACCTAGAAGAAAACCACATAAACACTGCATCTGGTAAGCAAAAATGAACAAACCTATCTCGCCTCCCCAAAACCAGACAAATGTTTCCTGAATTAAATTATTTAGTGAGTGGGTTAAATCAGGACTTGACCTACATGATTTATTTCCCATGTATGTGTTTGAATCAGAATTTCCAGTAGCTAAACTCTGATTAACCCCACCGCCCAGTGCTCCTTCTTCCCTCTTTTAATTCCCTGGCAATGTTGGTGATTTTTTTTTTTTTTTTTTTTTTTATTCACAACCCAAATATAAGTGAGGCTTTTGACATCCCTGAACTGTGAACAGTGACTGTGGGGACTCACATTAACATTACAGAGCTGCGTCCCTCTCCATAATTTCACTGTCAGGGTGGCTCTGCTGACAAGTGCGTACAAAATGGAGAACAGAGAAAACACATGAAACAGGGAAGTGGCAAAGGAACAGGGAAAAAGTCATGAGGAAGCAAGGCAGACATTTTTCTTAAACAATGAGCTGGAGGAAGAAATAAAAGATATTTTCTTATTAAACAATGCAATGATAAAGTTTCCAATAATATTAGCAAAATTCTCCCTTTGAATTCTGGGCAAAACTTATTGCATCAGGTAATTTTGGGTGGACAGACTCTTAACTCTACATCACATGTCACAGTTACACGCGATTCAACTCTTGCCATCAAGTGATTTTGTTTCTCTGACTCCAGAATTTCATCCAATCTCCATCTTACATTTTTTAAGATAAAAATGACAGAACAGAAGGCTTTTGCACAATGTAAATGATCTCACTATTACAGAAAGTAACCTTGTTGACAAGTCTTCATGGTTACTGAGAAAACAACACCAACTCAAGCTACAGCTCTGTTTGCCTGCATTTATCACCAGAAAATTCCTTTACAGCAGCGTAAGCTGGACAAGACCCGTAGTTTTAGGCTTCAGTACCACACATGGCTAAGCTGATGAAAGAGCTGGTTATCCAGAAGGAGAAGCCTGGCTCTCCTGCTTTCCTTTCCCTGTGTGGTCCTGTCCCTTTTGGCAGCAGCAGGCTGATAGATTAGCTCACCACACCTTGGAGAACCTCACCCAGTGGCTCAGTCTTGAGTCTCAAGCCTTGTCATGGTCTCAAAAGAACAGTTTAAGTTTCAGTACACACTGAAACAAAGCCCAGATAAATGATGAATAAGAGATTCTGTGTTTACTTTCATAGGAGGACTTAGCAGAACAGAAAAAGCCATAACCACTGAGAGTCCAGACTAGATCCAAAAAGAGGTTCAGAAAGAAAACTGCAATATTCATAGTCAAACCAAACTAAAACAAAGAAACAAAAGCACAATCACTGAGACCTGTTTCTTCTGATACCACAGGAGGGACTCCAGCATTATATTTATTGTCTTGGACACCTACACATCCCCAGCCACTCCAAACCACAGCGGGAGCGAGGTGTGTCTGACATCCTTGAGCACAATCACCCTTTTCAAGGCAAGGTCATACAAGCAAAACTAACAGCAAAAGAGTTTGCAAATTAAAGGTGTTAAGAATCCTAACATACCAAGAAGTAGTTACTTTATAGGTGCAAGCAGTGGCAACTTTTAAGTGTTTACTCCTGTGGGCTTCAATGACTTACAGCACCACAGGAGAGGGTGCCACTTTGTTTAGAGAAGGGGTTTGATATGGGAAGCCAAATGTTTTAGAAGCAAGCTTCCATGACCCATTCAGAATGTGTATATCTTGCTAACAATTCACCTTTCTAAAGCTTGAGATGAAAAGCTAAGTGGCCTTGAACACAAATCCTGAACATGAATTATTTTCTGTGATATTCTGTACTTACTACCTGGTGAAGACACCATAGGTTCCACCCCAAAATCAGCCTAATCTGCCGCACTTAATAACTTTAGACTTATGCATGCACTGGAAAGCAAACACATCTGTGTCTTTGATATCGCAAGGCCTTTTGAGCAGTATTGAGACGCAGCTTATTCTCAAAAAACACAGAGAACGATTAGGACACTGGGAAATGTGTGCAGCGCGAGCTCAGCTCTCAACACCCCTGGAAGGGGACAAAACATCCTCGGGAAGTTTAGAAACAATTCACACCAAACTTGCAAGCTTCAGCAAGCATTGTCATCGATTCTCCTTTTCTTTTTTACTTTTAGAGCAGCTCGGGGAGCAGCGAGGCGCTCGCCGAGGGGCGGGCGGGACGCGCCGCCCTCAGCGCGGCTCTCGCGAGACGCCGCCGCGCGGGCTCCATATTGGGGCATCGGTGCGCGGAGCTCCGGCGGGCGCGGCCCCGAGGAGCTCCGAGGAGGCGCCGGAGCTGTGCCGCCCGCGGGCAGCGCGGGGACAGCGGGGTCGGTGCCCGCGGCCAGCGCTGCTTGCCCTGTGCCCGGAGTCGCAGCCCGGGGCGGGGCGCGAGGGGCGGAGGCGGTGGCTGCGGTGCCGCCTGCGCCGTCCCACCTGCGGCGGCAGCGTGTCCCCGCCCCGCACGCCGGCGCCCCCGCCTCGCTCGCCGCTTGGCCGCACGACCGCCGGGCGCGCCTCGCGGGGCCATCCCGCCCCTCGTGGCACTGCCCGCGGAGGGAGAGAGGGAGGGAGAGCGGCGGGGGAAGGCGGTGACACGGCCGCGCTCCGCGTCGCCCCCCGCGGCTGTGGGAGCGGGGCAGCGGCGGCGCGGGGCGGGGCGTGAGCGGCCGGCGGCGGCCGCGGGGGCGTCGCTGCTGCGGGGCTGCCCCCGCCCGGGAGCGCCGAGGGGAGGGAGCGAAAGGAGGAAGGAAGGAAGGAAGGAAGAAGTCGCTGGTGCCGCTGCAGGAGGAGAAGGAGGTAGTGGCGGCGGCGGTGCTGCTGCAGCCGCAGGCAGAGCCTCCCCCTCCCGCCGGGCCGGGCGGGGCGGGCTCCGCGACCGAGATGTCTCAGGAGCGGCCCAAGTTCTACCGGCAGGAGCTGAACAAGACGGTGTGGGAGGTGCCCGAGCGCTACCAGAACCTCTCCCCGGTCGGCTCCGGGGCCTACGGCTCGGTGTGGTGAGCGCAGGGCGGGGACGGGGCAGTGCGGGGAGGTCGCGTTAGGTCGCTGCCCCGCCGGCGGCCCCTCTGCCCTGCCGGGACCGTGCGGGGCGGGCACCGCGCCGAGCGGGGCTGCTCTGTGCCCCGGGGGCTCCTGTCCCCACAGCCTCCTGCAAGAGACATTTCTCCTGCCGGGTTTACGCGCGGTGCTGCCGGGAAGCCGCAGTCTCGTCTTTGGAATGCGTCGGGGATTGCACCACATGGCAGGTGGCTCTGAAACATTTTTGCAGGGGAAGATAATAATGTGTCCTTGCCGGCACCCCCCCCGTCCCGCCCCGCATGAGCTCATATGGACATATTTCAGTGACTTACGGACATATTTCAGTGTGATTTCTTGCAGTTAGTAGGTGGGGAGCGCAGAGGGATGCAGCCTGGTGAGCCCCCCCGCCATAGCTGGCTTTGCAGAGCTAAGGGCTTGGCAGCTCCTGTCCCAGTTTTCTTTCTGAACCTGAAGAATAAATTGTGTTTGAGTCACTTGTATTTTCATCTGGATTTTGTTGATAGGCAAGAAATAGAATGCTGGGAGGGCTGTTTTTTGTATTCCCGACTTGTTAATAGTGCATTTACAAGCACCGATATTTTCTTGGCAATAGCAGATGAACACAGGAGGACTCGTTTTATTGCTATAGAATTACTGCAGCATGTGCTCCCTGGGAGAGTAAAGTCCTGCTACGAGACCTGCAGAAATACAGGGAGCTTGAAGAGTTTAGTTTTTAATGCTTACCTAATAGGAACAAACCAGGCTACATGTGTGAGATACAATGCGTCCTTAATTTGTAGCTTCTCTGCTGAACTGCGGTGGATCATTAAACATAAATAGAGCTGCATACTTGGCTTAAGTATTTGAATCAGTTTGACTCTAGACTTTAGCAGTCATTTAGTTAAATGTTCACAGATTACTGCCTCCTTTGATTAAGAAACATCTTCCACCTGAATATTCTGGGTTTTATTCTGTATTCTTTGCTTCTGTCAAAGTGTGAGCAGAATTTTGAAATATGGGTGCATAATTACAAAGCTGCTTTGCTGTTGTGTTGGAGCAGGCATGCATATGTGTTTATTAATGTAGTATGCAAATTTACATTATGGGTATCAGTTTTATTATAAGGAGGGACACATGCTGCATTCTCTTAGTACAGAAAATAAGTTTCTTTGGACGTGCTACAGTTTTAATGAAATGCTCAGCTGTTCTTAACCTGTTATAAAATTGTTGGTAAGTTGAGCTTAAATAACTTGCATTTTTTAAAATGCTGTGATTGAAGTGTGCAGAGGCTTGCATTTCATAAAAGTAAACCAGGCTGGTCAATTTTGTACCAAGAATAACCAGTATACTTGCTTACTTGCTGAGGTGTTTCTTTGGTTTTTTTTTTTTTTTTTAATATAATTATAGAATAATTTTGATTGGAAAGGAATAGACAGGTTTCTTCTGGTGAAAGAAGGACCTTGTTAAATACCCCTGTCGGTGTCACAGAGTTATGCAACTCCTGAAATGTAATGGGAAATAAATTTGCTTGGTGCCTTGTCCTTTGTATTTTAAGGCTGATTCTACATCATACCCCATTCCTATTTTCTTTTCTCCCTCCCTGCAATCTCCACTGTATATGTAATAGTTGCAAAGTTTGTTTTCAACCAGTAACTAAAGAATTTGCATCATGAATTTCCTGTTCTGCTGTGTCAAAACTTTCAAAGATTGTGCAACTTTGTTCAGACCAAGTGAAACAGTTTTGTATTGGAAGCAATTTCAGACATGTGGCAGAGTCTTTTTACAGTCCATGTTAATGGCTTCCTGTATGTTCTTCTAAAAATAGTTTTCAGAAAAGATATAGTGATATGGAAAGTATGTCAGAATTGAAAAATTCAAGAAGACAACAAAAACTTTTGCATATCTATGGATGCTTATTAAGCTACAAGTGGTGATGCATATTACTTATGGTATTCCTGCAAGGACTTGTTCTGCTCTGTCCCTTTTGAGATTTTTTTTCCTCTCCAGTAAAAAGCCACCTAATTTCATTTGGGGTTTGGTGTATCCCTGCTGGGATAGTACATAGTGGTGTTTTAACAATCCTTAAAATGGGAAATATATTTTCATGTATGTTCACTATTATTATATTCAAATGTAATCAAATGCTCTGTTGTTTAAGTTGTCAAAATGAGGCATTTGAAAATGAGGCATCTCCAGAAAGTGGAGGGGAAAATGAATAAAAAAGGAAGCATTAAGCTGCCAGATGAGTCACTTAGACTATGGAGCTGTTGTAAGCTGCTTTGAATATGGCTTGGAACTCCCTAATACACAAACCTGACCACTGGGGAGTCAGTGGATGGAGGGAGAGGCATTTTCTGCAGGACTGCCTGAAATAAGAGCAAATATTGCAGTGTTTTCTGAGGGGTGGTGTGCAGTGCTGGAAGAACGAGGTTCAAATGGCCAGCTCAGGTATTTTTCAGGATCCATTTCTTAAAAACTACAAGTGTTAGAGATACAAATAGGGATTCGGTTCCAAAACTTAGAGAAAAATCTATACATATCCTGGTAACAATTACCATGGCACCTGTTCTATGAAATGCTGTTTCATTCATTCTTGCAACACTTTGTGTATTTATTCAACACAGTCTTTTGCATGGCTTTTGTAACCAGGCCTGCATTGAAAAAAGGGTTCCTGACATATCCATTTTGTAATATTTCATGTAAGGAGAGGGGCCTAGACAATACAACATCTTGCAGTGGGAAGTTGCTGAACAGAGATGGGATTGATTGGTGACTCACACTTCACTTGGGGAGGATTGCTTCATTTCTTGCGTGTGCTGGAGGGAAGTCTCACAGTTCAGCCAGCTCTGAGCTAAGCAAAATGGTGTTTTCACAAATTTCCCATCAATTTTCTAAAAGGCTGTGATGCACATTTGGTATACTCTTAGTTTACTTAATTGTTATATTTTTGCAACTGTTCTTTGTTGTATTGATGCCTTTGTAATATAAGGGGTTTGGTTTAATTGCTTTGCAAGCTATCTGTATTGCCTTAATTAAAGGCAAATGCCTCAAAATCTTGCATAAGATCTTTTTTTAGCTTCTTTTTTAATACACTGTCAGGTGATACAGCCCTCCAAAACCTGTGATTTCTTCCTGTTTCAACCCACAGTTGTACTAACACCAAGTCTGAATTTCTTGAATACTAAGAACTCCCAGAGAAACACTATAGATTTAAGAAATTTTAAAACATTCGGGTCTAGAGGAAATGAAATAACCCTAAATGCCACATTTGTGGAAACAGTTCCTCTGTGTTTTTTTTTTCATAATCCCTTATCAAAGCGTGCAAGTGCCTCCAAATCCTGTGGGTGCTTGGAAGGACAGGTGCCTGCTCCTCCAGCAAGGTGTGGTAGATCTGTGAGGAGTGATAGGAACAGAGCTGTAAAACTGAGTGGGATGAAGCAGCCACACAGGAAGGATTGGCAGAAGATGTGTGGGGAGGGGAGAGTTGAGTAGGAGAAGGGCAGGCACAGAAAAGCTGTGAGCAGAGCTCTGAAAGGGCTGGCAAGGAGCTTGGACTGTAGGAGAACTTGGTATTTTAAGAAGGGAAAATAGTGAGAGCACATCTGTCCTATAGGGAGATTTTTATTGCAGCTTTCTTAGAAGCAGAAGCTAATCTAGCACAGGAGAATGTTTGCAATTTTTATAGTGTGTTGGGAGGGTGATGACTAAAGTGCAGGTACAGAAGGGACTGCAGTGAATAATAGACTGCCAGGTGCTAACTGTGTTTTTCTGTCTGATTAGGAGTGCATAAAATAACTTCCCAGGTAGCACTAAGGAGATTCAGCTAGCTTGGGTATTTGCAGAGGCACTAGCAATGAGCAGCTATATTTAGCAAACTAGCCTTTGCACAAAAATTGACATTCTGATTATTTAATATTTAAATAAGTTGTGCTCATAAGTAACCTTGTTACTTGGTTCTCTAAAGTAATTGTTTTCTTCTACCACCTGTGTTCTGGATTCAATTCAGGTTAGATCAGAATTGTAATTTTAGCTCACTTAGACTGAGGTGGATGCAGTTTGTTTGCCATAGCACAGTACTATGTAAGAGGTTAAAAAAAAGTGTGATAAATTCTAAATTTGTGCTGATCTTGTTTTAAAAGGGCTTTAAAACTGTGGATCATGCAATTTTTTCCTAATTGGGCTTCTTTAGCTGAAATGTGATCGGTGTAATGCAGCTGTTTTAAAGTCTGTGATGAAAGGCAGCTTAGTGTTCTTTAAAATTCTCCAGCTGACAGCTGTTCTGTAGCTCTGCAGGAACCTTTAGCCAGTTATCTGTATTGGCAGAAAATTACTCAGCGTGATTTATCTGTGGGGAAATAGTCTTTAGGCCTCAAATATGACCAGACTTTTTGTGTTCTGACTTTAAGTCTAGATTGTGAATGTGCATTTGTCCACAATTTTCTTTCCTGAGCTTGTGCATTGTGCTGTTTAACCAGTACTGCTGACTGCATTTCCCTTGGAGATTGTACAGCTACTAAAACAGCACAGTGACTCGATATGACCCCAAAAATGTAATTTAAAACCAAATGTGAAATTGAATTTCATCTGAATCCTGAAATAACTTATGTCTGGTGGCTCTAAAAGCTCAAAATCTTGGAAACCAAAAGAGAAATTTGACTCTGGAGCTGTGGAGGTTTGAGATGCAGGGGATCCCCTTCTTTGCAAGATGAAAGAGTTACTGGTATTTGCTGCATTTTGTACCTGAAATGTTTGGAAATTGGTGAAGATCCATGACCAATTTACAACAGCACGTGCTGAGTGATGATGACTACTCTTATTTTTGCTCTAAGTCCTAGAAAACACCTTATGTATCAGTAAAACACTGGCATGTATTTTCAGGCCAAACTAGGAATATTTGTGTGTTGCAAGATGGTGATTCTTACCCAAGCTGAAAAAAAATTGAATTCTAAATCTCACTAAGTATTGCTGCTTAAATATGGATTTTTTTTTTTTTTCCCTAGTGATGTGTGAAAACTTGAGAATTTGAAATCAACATTAAAAAGTGAATGCTTGATGACTCCTTTTGTGTGCCTGGCACACAGGTTATCCTTGTAAAAAAGTTATCCTTGTGTAAAGGATAACTTGCATGTGGAAGTAGTTGCTAATGGGTGTTTTTTGAGCCAGTGTGATGTAGCTTGAGCAATTCAGCTCTGGCAGGTTGCTGCTGCTGTGACCGGGTGTACTCCTGTGTGTTTTCCAGAGAGGTCTTTCCACTCTGTGCATGCCCTTTATAGAAAGATGTTCTTCTTCCACTGTGCACAGAGGGTTTTTCCATTCCCTGCCAGGGCCTGGGGGAAGGGTCACTGCTCATAGGAGGGTGCTGCTGTTGTGTTTTCTATTTCTCATAAACTTCACTTACCAAATTCCTTGGAAACTGGGCAAATTTGAGATAAGGAGTCTTTTTGCAGGTTAATTCTTGGTAGTTGCTTTAAAAGTAAATGACAGCTGCCTTTATTTCAAATAGCTCCTTTGGTGGGGTGGGCGTTGTGGTTTGCATATGCAATTGTGGGTTTATTCTAGGACTGCTCTTGTGATTGGTTTTGAGCTTTGTTAGTTAAGCTTTATATTTCACACTTTACCTTTATAAATATGCAGCATTCCATTTTGCTTGATGTTTATCAAGAACTAGTCCATACTCACTTTTAAATGGAATCAGGAGTTTACCTGAATCATAAATAGGACAGGAAAATCAACCAGTATTGTCCTTGTATGACTCTTTCCATGCCAGACTTTCCCCATATTCATTACCTTGAGTGAAGTGTTGATTTCATATCCTCTCTTTCTCCTCCTCCTTCCTTTTGGACAGACCAGAGCTTTATAAGTTGGCATAAGAAATTACTTAAAATACAATTTTACTGTACTAATATATATATATTGTTACTGAGTAGGATTAAATAAATCCTCACAGACTCTTAAGAAAAAATACTATTTGTATGTACAAGGTTTCTACTAAAGAGACAAGTTTTGGTAATGTACAGCTACGTATCATTCATTCACATGCACTTTTTTATAAGAACTTGGTGATTGGACGGGATTTACCAAAGAAATTTAATTTCAGCTTCAGTTATGATTAACAACAATCATAACTGATTTTATTAGGCACAAGTCCTGGATTTTTGTGTGAATTTAAACCACGAAAATAGTATTTTGAGCATAGCATTTTGTGACCAAGTGTGGTGTTTGAAAGTATGTTTAGGAATAGTGATAGTTTTTACAAGTACTCTTCTCTCCAGAGTTTTAGTGCATAATTATGTTTAAGAGCACTTCAGACAGCAAAGTCATAAACATTTCTCTTTCTTTCTACAAGAATTCCCTTTACTGTGTGGACAAGACTCATCTTTTAAACATTTTCTACAGAAACCAGTAATTGTGTAAAATTGTGAAGATTTTGAGTGGCATGCAGGTTTATAGACCAGGATACCTAGAAATAATTTGTATCGGAGGAATGGTGTTGCCTGTAACTCAGTGTCTAGAACAAGTGTGGATTTGAAGGCATTCATAAGGGTTAATTTGCTCATGTGGTTGCTCTGTGTTGCAGTTCTGCCTTTGACACAAAAACTGGTTTGAGAGTGGCAGTGAAGAAGCTGTCCCGGCCCTTCCAGTCCATCATCCACGCCAAGAGAACCTACCGGGAGCTGCGGCTGCTCAAGCACATGAAGCATGAAAATGTGAGTGCAGCAGAGGCTGTCAGATGCTTTCCTCAAGCTGGACTGAGCATCCATCAGGATTGCTTTTTTCTTGGAGCATATGGTTTTTCCCTCATGCTGAATGCAAAGCTTGCAGTAGTCCAGGGTATTAGAGCTGTAGAATATCATGCAGAGTTACAAAACCAACCCCAAAAACCCCCACAATAACAAATTTTGTATGAAAAAAATTAGTATTTTCTAGAATAATCTCAAAATGACTACTTACCAAGGATCATAAGGATTTGGGACACAGGTGGTGTCACTTACATTCTCCTGGTTACTTGTAGTAAACTGCAGTTTTTGTAATGTTAAGCATTTATTTAAAGAAAGAAAATTCCAAAGTTTCTTCTTAGTGTCTTCTGGAGGGTTTTTAACAATTTTTTTTTTTTTGGCTTGCCTGTGTCAGAAAGTTATGAAGCAGACATTCATTAAATTCCTGTGGGTAAAATAGGGAGGAAAAAAGGGGTGGTGATGAAGGGGTGGAAATTAGATGGCTGTTTATATGAGCCACCTACTTAAATCATCAACAAGGAAACAAACATGGATGTGGCAAATGTAATATTGAATTATTTTTTTATAAAGCTTCCACTTGGTATAGAGAACAATTGCCTGAGCACTTTGCTCTGTGTGTGACAATAACATGCCAGCATATTTATACTGCATGGTGTGTGGAACAAATTCTGTGTGGAGTGGAGCAAAAATTCTCATAACCAGCTCTTGGTAGAGTTGTCAGGACATCAAGAAGAAAGGAAGGCTCTTGATTTCTTTTGTCCCAGCAAACTCTGGCTTGGCAGAAGGGGAATACTCTGGACATGAGCTGAGCAAAGCCAGGACAGTTACCTGGCACAAAAAGCCAAGCAAGCATAGTCTGATTGTAAGGCTCTTCTTGGTTGATGTGTTCAGAACTTCTGCTGTGGCAGGAATGGTTGTGAGGTGGTTTCTGACCGCTGCAGTCAGCATCTGGTAGCCCATAAATCATCTTGATGTTTTTAGCGTGGCTCACATCCGTGGAACTTGTATTGCGCGTGTGTATTACTGTCAGTAATTCTTCCTGTGTGATACCATTGTCTCAGCAATGGTAACTTCTGGTCCTGCTTAATATCCATACAAATATCAAAGGGTCCTTAAGATCATTGAGTTCTACCCCCTGCCATGGCAGGGATATCTTCCACTGGACCATGTTGTTCCCAGTCCCATTCAGCCTGGCGTTGGACACTTCCAGGGATGGGACAGCCACAGCTTCTCTAGGAATCCATTCCAGGGCCTCCCCACCCTCATAGGAGAGAATTTCTTCCTAATATCTGATGTACATCTGCCCTTTTTCAGTGGAAGGCCATTGCCCCTTGTCCTGTCATGACATAGCCTTGTGAAAAAATCCCAGTAGTACTCAGGAGTTTCTTTCTGGACCTTTTCTCATGCCTGAGACATTCTTCAAATAATAAAGCTTTATAAAGCTAATTAGGTTAGGCATTGAAAATTAGTTTATGACTACAACTGCCTGAGACTCATTAATATTTTTGATTGGCATTGCAAAGAGCCTATCTTTAATAAAAGGAAGTTATTTTTACTGCTATATATATATATACATATATATATTATCAGTTCATCATCCCTTCATTTATCTGTGGGAAATTTATGTAGGTTGTGATTTAAAAATCCTGCAGAGATGATCAGAACTGGTTCAGGTAGGATATTAGTGCTACTGTCATGACTATTCAGACTACAATTTTATTAAAAAAAAAAAACCAAACATTTGGTTTTATGTGGTACAGAACACACCAGCAAATGTGGAAGGTGTGGTGCTTTGAGGGGCTTGGACATGGGGTGTTTTTTAAGATCTTACATATCTAGTTCATGATGATTTGAGCAAGTAAATGGAGCTGCAGAGCTCTCACGTGTGCCTGCCTCAGGTTTTCAAGTTCCAGGAGGCCTTGTTAGCTTGCATAAAGCACAACACTGAACAGATGGAAATGAAACATCTACTGAATAAATACTTCAGTGCCACAAAGGATCTTAGTAACTGTAGTATGCTATAAATATATTTCACAGCTTTTCTCTTCACTGTTTTCTTTTTAGGTGATTGGCTTATTGGACGTGTTCACCCCTGCCAAATCACTAGAAGAATTCAATGATGTGTAGGTAACTTCTCTAAAGATTGCAACAAAATGTGGTTTTGTATCTCCTTACACCTCCCAGGTTATGACAGAAATATTTGTCTCTTTAATTCGTCTGCCATCACTCACAAAGAATCCTGAATTCCAGCACAAAGTTATAGTATATCCTAAGCTGTTGGACTTGTCAGAATTGTTCACTTGCTGTGGTTTGCTGCCCAGTGCTGTTGGAATCACTCTATTAATCTGCTGTTATTTAAAGTGTCACGATCTATGTTTCACTGAACAACGTGCTTTGGGACAGTCAGCTCTGCTACTGGAGATTTATAGGGAATTTTTATCCTAATCCTATTCAAGAGATTGCTTCATAGCCCACGTGTTTGCTTTTGTTCACAGGTACTTGGTGACACATCTCATGGGAGCAGACCTGAACAACATTGTGAAATGCCAGAAGCTCACTGATGACCACGTGCAGTTTCTCATTTACCAGATCCTTCGAGGCCTGAAGGTGAGTGTCCCTGTCTTCCCTGAATGGGGACAGCTCCCCACAGGGGGTGGGAGTTCCTGGTGCATGTTCCATCCTCAGAGATTCAGATGTGTGCATAGGGCTTCTGTAACTTCCCTAAAGTATTGTAGAATAACATTTTATTATTCTTCTTCACTTCTGCCTCTCTGGAGCTCTGCATCAGTAAGGTTACCTATCATTTTTATGTGTTCCTATGGGCAGAGTCTAGAAAATTATGAACTGTGATGCCCTCTGATCTGGCAATGAATTTTCCATTTCCTCAGTTTTGTTTACTTGTGTTGTTCCACTCATGTAGCAGCACTCCTGGGTGTTCCTAAGGAGAGGCAAACTGGAACACCCACCTGGTGGAACCCACAGACACACAGCTGGTTCCTTCTGCAGGCAGACTGGAGCATCTGAATTGTGTGGGCTGGGGTAGGGCACTATTTTGCAGGGAAGAGATGAGGAGGTGGCTGCTTGGACTGTTACTTAAATTTTGTCATCTTATTTTACAGTACATCCATTCAGCTGACATAATACACAGGGTGAGTATTCATTCTAAGATTGTTTCCTGTAGTGAAACATATTTTTAAAAAATGAAGCATGAACTTTTACAATGTAGTACCAAGAGAAACCAGAGAAAATTTTCTGAAATTTTTTTTTTTGTTAAGTAGTAAAAAAATTGAACAGGGGAAGTGGTTGTCAAGATCCATACTTTTCCTTTGTTAATTAGATCTTCTCTTAAATACAAATATGCAGCGCTGGTGTTGCCTTTATCCATTTTTGGTTATATGTGACACTTCTGAGAACCACAAAAGAGATTTCTGACTCTGATAAAATAATTTATCCAAAGTTAGTATTTGCACTCAGTTAGAATTTCTATTTTTATCTCCATTTACAATTTTATCTACTTCAGGCTTGTGGAACAACACATACTCCACTGTTAATGCTGATGTTTAATTTTTTAGGATTTAAAACCCAGTAACTTAGCTGTTAATGAAGACTGTGAGCTGAAGGTAATGTAGTTATAAAATCTGATTTGTTTGACTGAGATTTGAGTGAGTGTAATACGAAGATCCCTTGCATCTTAAGTGTCAAAACAATTCCTTTTGAAAATACTTCCATAGAAAAATAATAATATGCTTCCCAGCTGTAGAGTTGTAAGGATGTGGTTTTTGTATCTGGCCCCATGTTTTTAGTGAATCATCATGAGAGTGCAGAGTTAACAGCTTTAGTTTGTGTTTACTTGTTTTGGAGACAAGATACCCAGACATAATTCTGATTATGTTGAGTCCTACGCTGTTCTAGCCTAGTGTCTTCTCACAGGTTGTGAAATTTGGTTTCATAATCTGTTTTTGCAGCTCTCCCCCTCTCATGTGCCCAGTTCAGTGACTGTTTGTGCTGGGTGGTTTGCAGTGCTGCCCTGCAGTGGTTGGTGTTCTGTGCTTGCAGATCCTGGATTTCGGGCTGGCCCGGCACACGGATGATGAGATGACCGGGTACGTGGCCACCCGGTGGTACAGGGCTCCCGAGATCATGCTGAACTGGATGCACTACAACCAGACAGGTAATGCCTTTAGCCAGCACAAGAGTTGTGTTTTGTCAGGTTTCTGAATTGTGAGGAGGGGGAAAAAGGGGGTTGTCCTTGCACGTGCTCCTCCATTTGATTGCATAAGTTGGCACTCTTGATAATTATGCTTTGGAGTTGGTGTTTGAGCCACTCTCTGTCAGTTGGAAGTTAAGAATCATTGTGATAGCATTCACCAGGATTTTGAACCTTTGAAACTGCAATCAGCAAAATATTTTCAGCACTTAGCCCTTGCTTTTCCTAGCAGAGTGGTTTTTAAAATAATTGACTGGAATGTGTCTGGTTGAGGAGAATGTCTGGAGCTATAGTGTGAAGAAATGATAAAAAGTGGATAAATCTCCCATCCTTTGCTCTCCCGTCTCCCTTCTTCACAGATTTATCTTCCTCACAGTTTCCACTAGGAATACTTGCAGATCAGGTGCAGAGAAGAAAATCACAGTCTGAGAATAGTTCTTGTACAGGAGAGCACCAAAAAAAATAACGTACTACCCCAATTTCATGTATCAATACCTTATGGGTTTTTCTTTTCCCTCTTGCATGTGTATGGGCTTCTCTTGTATCATCAGTGAAATAGTTGGTGGTTGTTTGGGTAGCATTTATGTAAGGCCACCTGCAAAGCCATTCCTCAGAGTCCTCTTGGACAGATTTCTTCCTCTTTGCTGGTTTAGATTCCTCCCCAGCTCTTTGGTGTTCAGGTCATGTTATAGTCTGGAAGGAAGAGTTGCCTGATCTTGAAATCTGTTATTTGTACAAGTTTTAGATGACACAGAACAGTATCAGTTAGCTTGCAATGTATTTCAGATTGCTTCAGTGTCATGAGACTGTTTCAGGACAGAGTTGTTTGCTCAGGTTGGATGGGGTGGTTCTGCTCAGGCTGTATTTTTATGCATCATGTTTTGTTTTCTGTTTTATTTTGTTCAGTTGATATTTGGTCAGTGGGATGCATTATGGCTGAGCTGTTGACTGGAAGAACATTGTTCCCTGGCACAGACCGTATCCTTTAGAAGTAATTTCTTTTTTCAAATTGAAATTAGATCTTCATTTTCACATAATTGACAAGGAAATAAGTTCTGGGTTTAGTTATGGACTTTTGTTTGTTTGTTTTTAAATTAATGGCTTCTTTTACTCACAGTACAAAGAGGTGAGTTCTTGATTTTGCTGCACATCTGTTCCTCTTTATTTTCTGTTGTCTCATTAGATTTATATACTCTTTGTTTCTGTTACTTTCCTTCAAGTTTATTTAAATTTATTAGTTGAGTTTCTAGCTAATACTTGCATGGATGCCGGCCAAGAATCCTCTCATGCTTCAGGTTTCTTGCAAATGTGATTCCCTTCTGGCCTCTCTTCTTTTCTCCTGGAGGTATCCTGGCTGTGAAAGCAGTGGGTTTGCAGATTCTTTAGTGCCAAGGTTCTCATTAAAATTCCTCTGAAATGTTTAGGTTCATTTCCATGCTTGACTGTGAACCTTCTTCCACAGTGTGCTTGTACTGATGCAAAAATTCAACCTTGAATAAGATCTTTCCAAAAATTTTTTTTTTGCCTCATCAGAGTGGACTGGGTAGGACACTTTGGCAAATTTGAGAGAACTTTGTGAGATTTGGTCATATTTTCCCCAGGAAATTGGAAGTGAGACTTGATGGAAATTGTTGCACTTAAAAGTTTTGCTCAGCCACACGAGATTGGGGTGTAATTCGCTACTGGCATGATTTTTCATTGCCTAGAAATTGGGCTTTCATTTGCCAGAGAAAATTACATTGCCCACCTTGTACCAAAGTTTATTAGTTTGACCACAGTTTGTTCATTTTAATAACTTCTGTTAATTTGTTAGTACTTGTGTCAGTTAATTCAAGTATGTTAGCACTCGAAAAGAAAGCTGGTGTTGGAATTGCTGCCTTCTGTTTATTTACCTTCAGGAAGCATCTGGGTTCCAAAACTCTCTCGTGAGGAGAAGATTTCATTCCAGCTTTCACAGTGTCACCTCTCTTTTCAGTGTGCTTTAACTTTATCCTCACCTCTCTTTCTGCTTGACTCCATCTCATCACTTCTCTCCAAATTTGTTTAATTTGTTGTACTGTGCTGTGTAGTCATCTCTGCTGTATTTTTCTCGTCAGAGACAGAAGTTGAATTAAATAAAAGCTGGTATATTTTTATCTGTTGATTCAGCATGTGTAGGTTGGTTTGGACAGATTTTTTTTTTGTTGTTGTTGTTTCTTTTAAGAAAAACTGAGATACCAAGAATTGTTCATTCAAACAAAGCAAAAGCCTTTAAGCCGTTGTCATTATTTAACCCTAGCAACAGTGACACTTCAGATTTTAAAGAACTTGATTCTTGCAAGTAAAATATTTGTAGTAGGATTTTCAATGTGTAAGAAATGCTGCATGGTTTTGATTTATTTTGTGTTTTTTATGAATTGAACAAAATGGTGATTCTTCCAAGTCTGAGAAGTTTTTTCTCCAACTCTGTTCTTAGCTGTAAATTAAAGCCACTGATATCTGCAATGCAAAGTGAAGTTTACTTCTAGGATCTAATTTATTTGCTTTATCATAATAAGGTACTTCATTAATTTATGTCTCCCAGCAGATGCTTGTAATGATTTACTTCAAATGCTCAATTTAATTTGCAAATGGCAGTAATGCTTTTTAATTAAATGCTTTTTCTGTTCTGAGTTGCTTAGATTTAAGAAAAACAGACCAAATCCTTTCCTATCTTAGACAAAACTTTGTAGTACTGTAATTCTTTCAATCCTTTTGTGTTTGTGCTTTTTGATCATGAGGTTAAAACTAAAAGGGGAGTGGGGTTTGTTCTGAATCTTGTTAGTGCATGGAACACTTACCCAAAGATTGGATGGCTTTCACTCCAGATTTGCTGACAGCTAAAGACAGCAAGCAGAATTAAGATAACAGTTCCAAAGAAACAGACAGTTTCTGTCTTGAAGGCTTTTTGAAATCTTTATATGTGCATTATTTTAGGAGAGAGTTTTAGGGGTTTTCCAGGTTTAGATCCTGTTGGGTAGTTCTGGGCTCTCAATAATTTCATTGTACCCACAGATCTGCAGAGGCCCTTGTTCCTCCTGTAGTGTCACTGTACAGTTGCTGACTTACTGACTTTGGAGTTAATATTAACATGAATAATTCAAGGTATGTTTGCCTTGTGTCCAGTTGCCAAGGATGAGATATATCCAAATCCACTGCAGTTCTAGAAAATTCCCTGTGCAGTTGGAGGCAATATGACTCTCTGTTGCTGGAAACTGCTTCTGTTTGACAACTGAACATTTGAAGCAGTTCTTCTTTTTGGTCTCAAGATGTAAATTTTCTCAACTGTGTAGCCTTACATTTCCAAAATTAGAGTGACAGAATATGTAATGGGTTCTCAGGATGATCATCCCCCTGTTCAGATGGTTCTCTTGTTAGAAGTGTTGGTCCCTTTCAGCAAGGATTTGGCAAAAATGCTGTGATGTTATTTACAGTCCATCACATATTTCTTTGTACAGCTGGGGATGCACCTGTTCAGTGCAGGTAAGCTGTAAATTCATTTAATCAGGTAAGTAATAAAGTTGGACTCTGAAATTATGATCTTCAGTGCTGTCTGTGATGATTATGCCTCTGATAAATGACTGTTGAGTTTAAACTTCTGAATCTGTAGAGATTCTAAACACAGCTGTCATTGACTTAAAGAAAGAATTGTGATACTCTTAGGAAAAAAACTTGTGGTTAATTTGGGCTTAGCTCTGCAGGATTGCTGAAGTACTTCTACTATTTACAACTGAATGTAAGGTAATTGAATTATTCCTATTGTAATCTATGGGTAGAAGCATTTGGATGAAAGATGGATCTCTAATATTGGTAAAATCTCTGCCAGGAGGTGGAGAAGGGGATCAAGATTGTGGGAAAGAAGTCAGAGACCAAAAAGTGAGGTGATGAAAAATCAGAACCCTTCAGGCATTCCAACTCAACATATTCTGTGCATGGGAGGCTTACCTGAGGCTTTCTTGTTGGTATTGTTGTATCTGTCTGATGCCAAGATCAGTTTCTGTTAAACATATATATTAAACTTTTACAGCTCTGAATGTGAATATTCATATAAATAAGTAGGAAAGTTGACTTTGTTTGAATGCTTGACTTGCACAAAGTCATATAAAGTAAAAATAAGACTATCTAGATTTTTCTTGTACTAGTTTAGCATTTTTGTGTGATTTGTGTTTCCTTAAACTCTGGAGAGTGTTGTTTTTTTTTATTGTCTTTATTCAGTATTATGAAACTTCATGATAACTAACCAGTCTGAAATTACATATTCTTCTGATACACCTTATTCCTGCTTGTGATGGCAGCTAAAACAACTTGGAACTTTGCTTTGCCTGAATAAGCTGTTACAATCTTCTGAGATTTGCTGTTGGTGGTGATAGCAGGTTATTTTCTGAATTTTAGAATCCCTCATCAGTCCTTGGGAGTACCTTGAAGATGGCACTTGGGGTTTGCATGCTGTGCTTTCCTTCTCCATGCATATGTGGTGGTGTTTTTCTTCTGCTTTGTATTTACTAAATCTCTTTCCTGTCTTTAATTGCTTGTGGCTCATTTCTCTGGGAGGTGATGGTCCCTGTAGTTAAAGACTGCTGCAGTTCAGCAGGTTATAGATGGCAGGCTTAAAACCAGAAGCAGGGTTGGGTTTTGGCACTGCCAGTTACATAGTCTGTGTTTTTTCTTATTTATCTAAGAAGTATCTTCCACTTGCAAACAGGGCAGCAATATTGTTGACACACCAGTGCACAGGCTTTTAAATGCCTTTAAATAACTTAAATATTTAAACTGAGCTGTGGCATGTTAACACTCTAAAATTTGCACTTCAACTGCTGCTTGCACAAGAATAAGTGAAAGAAGAAAAGACTGTTTTAAATAGCTCTGAAGAAAATAATTGAAATGAGCCAGTTGTGGTTAGTAGAGTGCCCTTTGCGAATTCTCTTAAAGGAGTGGATATTTTGATCTCATTTTAAGCATTGACTCTTCAGAGTTTGCAATTCAGCTGTGCTAAATCCAACTAGATACTGGGTTTATCTTGAGTAGCTAGAAGTTTGCCAAGTAACTTTACAAGTGAAAAAATAATTCAGCTGTTCCAACAAAATGCTAATTCCAGAGCTCTTAATTAATTTGATAGATAAAACTTTAGACCAAAGCTTACCTCAAAAGATGGTGGCTTTACCAAAGCATTTGTAATTTCCTTCATACAGGGTTTGTTATTTTCTAGGGTTTTTTTAATCAGGTGACAGTTTTTGAAGTTCTTGTAGTACTCAAAAGATACTGTAAGTAGGAACTGCAGCTGTATCTTCAGCCATCAGGGAGGCATTGATCCCAGAAAACAAGATTGTCTAAAAAAATTTTTGTAACTACTTTGGTATAATTTTAAAGCAAATATAAACGTTATGGAGAGTCTGAAATCCCTGTCAGGAGGATAATTCAGGGAAGAAGTGAGATTATACATTGATGGTTTTAAAAAGGATACTCTGTGTCATCTTAGTGTCTTGAGATTTAGCCATAGAACTGTCTTTGATGGATTTCCCCCCCTCAGTTGTGTGTTTTGTCACCCGGGCCTTGTTAAAGGGGACAGCTCAGGCTGGCACGTGGCCTGCCAGGAGCTCTGCTCCTGGTAAAACATTCTTTCCATCTGCAGTGTTCCATCCCAAGAGCTTTCCACAGAGATGTGCTAAACCTGAGCCCTGCTCTGTTTCTCCTGCTGCTCCAGCAGGTCTGGAGGGCAGAAGGGATGTTCAGGTGCTTTGATCCCCTGCCCTGGTGGTCCCCAGGAGGTGCCAGGGCAGGAGCCTGTGCCAGCTGCAGCAGCTCAGCTGCCCTGGCCGTGGGCAGGGTGTGCCCATGGTGAAGTGATGCTGCAGGGTCCAATCATTTCCTTACCTCCCGAGCTTTGGAAATGGCTGAATGAACTCACAAGGACTTCACAAAAAGCCTTGACTTTCTTCTTAATACGAGTGCCTACCCTTTCCAGCCTTCTGCTTTACTTCAGCTGTCACTAATGCAACCTAATCCTGTGAACTGCAGCTTGGTGTGGGACCTGAGGGGGTGAAGGGAGCGTGGAAGGGAGCCCATCTTTGCCAGTGGGGCTAAAGATTTCTGCTCCAAAATAGTTCAGGGTGCAGTGCCCAGTTCCATGCATGTGGGGTATCTGTAGACAAGATGTTCAATCTGTCTGATGCAGAGAGAGCTCAATTATATTCAGCTGTAACAACAGGAATGAATATGGTTTGCCTAAAATAGCTTTTCAGTCAAGGCCTTGGCAAGAATTAATTTTCAACATTAATAGGGCGATGTGTTGCGCTTTTCATTTTGATTTCTCCCAGCATTTTCCTTTATGGTCCATCATTAGATATTGATCAGTTGAAGCTCATTTTGAGACTCGTTGGAACCCCAGGGCCTGAGCTTTTGAAGAAAATCTCCTCAGAGTCTGTGAGTTTACACTTTGATTGTAATATCTGCCCTTTCAGAAGTCCCAAGTTTGTGTGTTGTTCTCCTGTAGTCTTATCTGTAGAATGTGTTGGGATTTATTTTTTGGTTTTTTTTCTTCCTTTGTAATTCTTTTCTCTTGGATGGCTTTAAGTTCTTATGCTTTGTGTATCTTTATTATGATTTCATCCTTCCATATTCTCATTTTACTGCTTCGTGACTTTTCTCTCAGTTTGTGGGTTTATGCTTTGTGATTTATTGTATCATCAGGTGTTACTGGGGAAGTATTTTTCACAGCTAAGAGCTTGATGCTTGTCTCAGTTATTATTTCTCCAGATTGCACACCCAGGGATCTTTCTAAATAGGAGCAGGTGTGTTATCCTCGAAATACACACAGTCCCTTCTGTAGTGTGATTAATTTCTGAAGCACTGCTGCCATATCTTTGTTTTTGTAGCAGAAAATGCCATTTAGGTGCCTTTCTGTAGCAGCTGTTCCAGGGCACACAGCAGAGTCTGCTCTTCACTTGTGCTGTGTGGGGTGTTGCTGTGTGGAGCCCTTTTACCGAGGGAGCAGCACAAAGGCTTCCTGCAGTCACTTTGGGAGGGTGACCTCCATTTTCAGCCATTTGCTGTGCTGCAGGAATCTTCAATTGGGAACTTGTGCACAGACAGTGTGAAACGGCCTTTAATTCTACCTATTTCTGGAGGAGGAGTGAATAAATCAGAGCCAGGGACTAACAGGTGAATGCACAGTGAACACTGAGGTCACTGCTGTTCCTGAGGTGCAGCAGAGGATCAGAGCTGTGGAAAGTGGTGAGAAGATTATGTTGTGCTGCAGCTTAATGTTCTTGTAAGGGTGATTGTAAATACAAGTGTGAGACTAGCCTTGAATAACACCTGCTGAAGGGATGTGCAGTGCAAATGGAGATAAATTGGTCAACTTGCTCAATATGCCACCAAAGTAAAAAGCCCTGGGATGTTCCACCTTTGGAGAGATTAGAGCTGAATAACCCAGATTCATTTGGTTGCCCTGTGAACTGACCTTAAGGCTTCTCTGATGTTCTAAGTACATGGGATTAGCAAGAGGCATAAGATGGAAGGTTGACTAAATTAAGCAGAAGATTAATTTGCATGTGTAAATTGAAGTGGGTCTTTTCTTAAACATTATTGCACAATAAAAATAATAATTGCTCTTATCTAGGTCTGAAACAAGTCTGTATGAAAAAAGGGCAGTAAAATGCTGTTTCTACCCATTGTATGGGGAAAGCAAAACTCTTAAGTGTTTGATGGTTTTGCGTGTCACTATAAAAAATTCTAGTTTTCTGCTGCATTACTTTACTGACTCTGACTTTCTCTGTTCACTGATACCTGCTAACGCTGTTTTATGCAATGCTAATATTTTGCTAATTTTGCATTTAATGCCTCCTGTCACCCAGCCCACATCAAAGGGCACTCAGAGCTGTTCAAAGATGTCAGTTGTGAGACAGTTTCACTTTGCACCACAAGAAACTTAAGCACTTTCTATGCAGCAAGAGGGAAAAAAAAGCTGGTAACCAGTGCAGAGGGTAGAGTTTTTGTTTCTGTTTTAATTTTGTTCATTTTCCTGAAGCTGTGTATAGCTGCACAGCTCAGGGAAAATTTTGTGGTGTAGCTTCAGCCACAGGAAACGTCTACTCTGATGGCTTAAAACTGCTGGGAAATGTGAACACAACCTCGTTGGATTGTGATGCTACTTGCACTGGACAGAAATACTTTCTGTACTGGCAGTTGCCAACTGAGCAGTGATTCTCCATTGCTTTAAGTGTTCACTCTTGTGATTGCTGAACATTTCAGGTAGCTGAAAAAATTAGTGGACCCTGCCTGTGTGGCTTTTGCCTTGTGGTTTGCAGAAGAGATGCTTTTGTATGCGACTGTTTTCTGTTTGAAATGGTTTTTGCACTGTTTTTAACAAAGCCCTTGACGAGGCACTTAAGATATTAACCAGCTTCAGCAGATCATGCGTCTGACGGGAACGCCCCCTGCATATCTCATTAACAGGATGCCCAGCCACGAGGTGAGATCTGAGCAGAGGAAGGGGGTGTCCAGGGCAGGGCTTCACTCAGAGTGTTCACCACTTCTGTGAATTAAAGCTTGCATGTGGCATGGGGTGGGCAATTAACTACCTGCTCTTCTGCAAGATCTTTGTACTAAATTAAGATGTGAGATTTAGATTTCTGCTTGCTGTACCTCAGATGCATAGGGCTCGGGAGAGCCTGGCTGTGAGCTGGTTTTGCATGGTGTGCTGTGTTGTGCAGCTCAGCAAGGGACAGCAGGCTGCACCCAGCCTTGCTGGGACACCAGGGAGTCAGCTCTTCCTGCACCTCTCTGCCTTCCAATCTTGCTTTACCACAAGTAATGTCAGCTCTTCCTCTACTGTCTTGAGTGCCTTAGTTGGGGCAGGGTAATGTTGATGTGCTTAGTAGGTGTCAGAGTAAGCAAGGAGACAGACCATAATAACCAGTGCTTCAGGATTGTTGAAAAGTACGTGGTCTTGCTGGCTGGATATTGTCTGATACTTCAACAGAGCATTTATTTCCACAGGCAAGAAACTACATCCAGTCTTTGTCTTACATGCCGAAAATGAATTTTGAAAACGTGTTTATTGGTGCCAATCCCCTGGGTAAGACCTGTTTATTAAATTTTCCTGAAACTGAAGCTAGCATGTCCTGGGACACAGAGATTCCCAAAGCTTTGTTCTGGCTGCAGGAATAGTGCACAACAGGGTTATGTTTACATGTGAGCCAAGGGTGTAAGAGGAAGAAAATGCTGGATGATGGTGGGTCCTGAGAAACTACAGATTGCTCATCTATGTTGGGCTTTTAGAAGCTTTACGTTTCAGAGTAGTCACACAGTTCATGTGAGAAATCCTCTCTGTCTGGTGCTCTTGCAGCCGTGGACTTGCTGGAGAAGATGCTGGTCCTGGACACGGACAAACGCATCACGGCCGCCGAGGCGCTGGCCCACGCCTACTTCGCCCAGTACCACGACCCTGACGATGAACCCGTGGCAGACCCCTATGACCAGTCCTTTGAAAGCAGAGAACTTGAGATTGAAGAATGGAAAAGTGAGTCTGGGGGAGGGGAGAGACAGTAAGCTTCTCTTGTGGTTGTAGAATCATGGAATATCCTGAGTTGGAAGGGACCCACAGGGATCATGGAGTGCAACTCCTGGCCCTACACAGAGGTCCTGTACAACCCCAGAATCTCACCCTGTGCATCCCTGAGAGCATTGTCCAAATGCTCCTGGAGCTCTGGCAGCCTCAGGGCTGTGCCCATTCCCTGGGGAACCTGGGCAGTGCCCAGCACCCTCTGGGGGAAGAAGCTTTCCCTGATACCCAGCCCAGCTCTCCTGACAGGGCTCCAGCTGCTCCCTTGGGTGCTGCCACTGCTCACAGAGAGCAGAGATTGGAGCTGCCCCTCTCAGACTTGGATGAGTCTCCCCTCAGTCTTCTTCTCTCCATCCCATGAGCTGAGATTCAGCTAAGCCATGGTTAGAGGCACAGTAGAAAGTGATAAAAATGTGGGCATCCTGTTGATTCTGTCATTACACCAAGTGAATCTACCTTTAGCATAGTGCCTGGTAACTAACTACTACTAGGAGCACACAAACATATACTTGTTTTCAAACTTACATCTCCTCAGTGCTCTGGAGGTATCTTTTATTGTGTGTGTTGGTCTCTGAGAGCAGTGTAATCATCCTTTTCTTGTCTTCATGAAACAATACTTTTGTTTTAAATGCTGTTAGAACACTTGAGATGACTGCAGGTTTTCTTGCATGAAGGTGTGTCTGGTAGTGCTGTCCTAGTCCTGCTGCTAAGTTTCTGTCCCACTTCTCCCCCAGGCCTGACTTATGATGAAGTAATCAGCTTTGTGCCACCCCCGCTTGACCAAGAGGAGATGGAGTCCTGAGAAACTGCTCTCTTCTGTTTGTCCCACTTCACTGTGAAGGGAAGGCCTTTTCATAGGGACTCTCCAATTATCGTTCAAGTGCCTCATCACAACAATATTCTCCTTAGTGGAGGGGTTTTGTGTGTGTTGAACTGGGGAGGGAGGGGGGAGGGAAGGAAGCTGAGTCTATGTAAACATGCTGCATGCTCTTGTATTCTGTGTACAGCCTGGGGCAAGCCTCTGGAGACCTGTTCTGACTGCACTTAGTTCTTCCAGAGTAACAGTGCACCACCAGTCTGCACTGCTGGGGTGAGGTGAGGAAGGTGACAGTTAAAGGTTTGGTTGCAATCATTGCCATTTATCAATTCTCCTACAACTGAGTAACCTCAAAAAGAATGAAAGTTGGTTTATAGGCTTAAAGAGTTCCCTGTTTTCTTCAGGACTGAAGGTGGGGTTGAGGGATGTTCTTGTTCAATGCCAGGTGTCTGATTTACATCCAGATCTTCCTGGTACAGAAGAGTGTAGAGGCCTTCCAGCGCCTGATTCTTGGAACATGAAAAGATGTTTGAAACTGTAAATATGTTTGTGCCTTAAATAAATGGGGAGAGAGAGGAAAGGAAGTCTGGGGTGGAAATCTGACCCACTGTTCTTGAGTGAAGGCTCCCAGGTAGCAAGGCATGAACTCAATGTAATTGGGAAGTAACTTTGAGGCAACAACTTCAACCCCTGGATTGGGTATTCCTGTGTTTTTCACTTTCCTCCTCCTCTTGTTCTGAGGCTTCTCAGCATTATCTTCCAGGAGCCAGAGGTTGGGGAAGATCCTTGCTAGCCACACGTTTGTGTATTCTGTTTCCTACAAGGTGGTGTGTTTTTGCATGTTGTAGCTGTATGTGCATGTAGAGCTGCTTGATTTTTGTCCTTACTTTTCGGGGATGGCACTGGGGGCAGTTCAATCATCAGTGAAACGTTTGCTGAGTACCTCAGGCAGTGCTATAAAATCACAGCACCCTTCCTCCTGTGCTGCAGCTCCTTGTGAAATACCTGCCATCCTAGAGGCTTCAACGAGGGAAGGATGTTGTGTCCAACAACAGAGAAACATGCACCTTTTTCTTTGTTCTGACCTCTTCTCTGCAGAGGAGGAGAGCTTGGGTGGAAAGGTTTCTTGTGAGATCAAGTGTAAAAAATGTTCTTTAAAGAAATGACTATAGTATCTTGTGAACTTAAGTTATTTCCTGAAGAGATTTTTTTTAGAAGTATTGGAACCCAAAGCAAAGAAATAAGCATGCATAAACACACAATCACCCTTTCACTGTCTATATCTATAAATACAAATATTTATATACATAAAACTAACATTTACTAGAAGTTTTTTTTTATCCTCTCACATAAGAGCTTCTTGGCTATTTCTTAGCAGGTTGATCTCTGCCCAAGGAAACATGAGAAGGGAGTATGTTTGAATACAAACGTGGTTCAAATATTTTGTATTTTCTAGGACTCTGCATGAGTGAAGTGCCCAGAGTTAGAGAGTGGCAGGAGGGAGGTTTCTCAGCATGTTTGTGTGCTCCATCTGTAGCTGGGGAACTCAGGAGCCCAATTTTAGGGCTTCTGGAGGAAACATTTTTAGACTTTAATTTGTTGCAGGCATCCTGTGTGGGCAATGTACCCGTGTATGTGAGGAGAAAGGCTTTTGCAGTATTTTGTATTCTTGTTACCTGTGGGGCAGAGAGTGTTTTTGTAGTGTTTTTGCCCCATGTTTGAAGAGGCAGCACAAAGGGATGGGATGTGGATGACAAAGCCATTGATTCTTCCTAGGCTACTTCCCAGGGATCTCTTCAGGCCAAAAGTTCAATAAAGGTCTGGGCTGAGATGAAGAGAGCAGCTCTGTTGTGCTCTAGGATAAAATTCTCCACAGCCCAACAAAATCAAGACAAAAAACGTCCCTTTTCTGCTGGGCCAGCAGTCTGGGTATTCAAATAAAAATGTAGATATACTATTGTAAACCTACAGCAAGATTATTTTTATCAGCCATTTTCTGTGTAGATGCTACAGTGTGATTTCATGCAGAAATATTGCTAAAGATTTTTAAAAACTATCGGTGTTGTGTGTGTGGGTGTGTCTGTGTGTGTGAGTGGGAATGGTTCATTGGAGTCTGTCCTCTGAGGGAGCCCCTGGGGCACAAACTCCCTGCTGCCAGTGCTGTGCTGTGCTCAGCCTGCCTGGGCATGATGCTGCACCCAAAAGCAGAGATCTGCTATTTTGTTTCTATCCATGAATTTTGCTGTAATTGGTTATGCCAGATAAGATGTCACAATACCACTGGTTAAAAATAAAATCTATTTTTCAGATTTACTGCACTGCTGGTACTTGGAAACCTCTTGGACTGAAGTGTTGAGTCTTAGCGTGGTGTGAATTTCTCTGCTGTGCTGTGGGGGATCCTGGGTGTGGTGGCTGGGAGGGGACAAGGTGGCAGGTGGCTGACTCTGCTGCCGTGGGGCTTCTTGTCTATTTTTCCACAGTTCTAAAGTTTCGTGTTTGATTTGGTCACAGAGTTAATTCATCTCAGCAGAGCCCAGACATGCCCCAGCTATTCAGGACTCCCTAATTGGGTGCTGATTGCCTGCATGTGCACCAGCAGCTGAGGGAGGGCTGTGTTCATCAAATAACCCAGGAGTTACATGTTTGCTTAAGGACCAGGAGGTTTTGCTGTGACACCTCTTGCTCACAGGTGTATTTATAGACCCAGCCAAGCCGTGGATTATTTCCAGGCTGTGCTGCTGCTGCAGCCAGGGCTGATTACACAGATACTGCCATGGTGTCTTGTCCCTCTCTGTGTTCATGAACAGCAGGCTCTGGGGCTGTTTGAAAAGCATAAGGGCCAGTGCAGTGGTTGCACATAAAGCAGGCACAGTGAATTTTCCCCATCCCCCTGATTGTGCTTTTCCTGTAGGGACACTTTTTTGCAGGTGACCTGTATGGAAAGAGCAGAGGCTCAGGGCAGGGTGGAGGGCTGCTGGGGTAGAACACTGTGCAAGCAGCTAGGCTGGCTTGGTAAGGCTTGGCTTAGTCACTTCCTTTGGGGAGTGGGGAGGATGCACCTCCTGTGTGGGAGCCCGACCTGAGCCTCCTCATGCTGGAGAGAAATGTTGAGGTGCTCTCTGCTTACCAGGAATGGTCCAGTGGGCTGGGGTGCTGGGCTGGTTGGTCACAGACATGGCAGTGAACACTTTGCTTTGTCCCAGAGGAGCCAGGAAGGGCTGAGAGCTGCTGCGGGAGATGAAACCGCAGCAAAGCCTGGGGCACGAACCACGGGGATGTTCCCATTCTACAGCTGCTCCTGCAACCCTTGCAGCAGTCACTTGGAGAACCTCAGTCTACTTTCAGCACCTCCCCACGCTGCTGGGCAGCCGGGCTCGGGAGAAAATCGCCATCGATGTGACCCCGTGGTGTCCTTTGTCACGAGCCTGGAGCTGTCCATCGGCTTTGAGAGGATGCTCCTGCGTGTCTGACGCGATGCTGTCTGTGGCTTCTCCCTCGGATTCCCCGGCTCGACGAGTCCTTACTCATCCCCTTGTTTGGAGGAGGGATTTCATAAGCCCCTGTCCGAGCCCCGTGAGGATATTTCTCGGCTGATGGAGCAGCAGAGCGGGAGCTGTGGATGACAGCGGCTGCCAGAGGCGTGCCCGAGCGGGGCTGCCTGCTCCCCTCCTGCAGCAGAGCCCAGAGGCACCTGTACAACACCGAGGCGTGTCAGGAAACCTGATGCCTCACCTCTGCCAATGTGGAGGCGGAGGGAGGAGGGCCCAAAGACATGTCCCTTCACGCTCGCAACAGCTGAAAACAGAGAAGGAAACTCGCTAGAGCCTTTTTTTACCAGCGCAGGAAGCCTCCCTGTCACGCTCTCACCTTAGAAGTCCTCGCGTACTCCACTACTCTGGGGGGGTGGCTGTCCCACACCCGTCGTGCGATGAACATCGCAAGGAGAAGAGGCTTTTACAGACAGGAGGTGAACAACACGCTCTGGGAGCTGCCCAGGAGATACACATCCCTCCACCCGCTGGGCTCCGGCGCCTACGGCTCCGTGTGGTGAGTGGGGTCCTGCTCGCACCGCCCCGGCTGGGGGTGTTGGAAGTTCCGTGCCGGGGGGAAAACGAGGAGGTGCTTGGCAGCACCCCTCCATTAAGGAAGGATATTTGCATGTGTGATGGGAGCAGTCTGTCTCCTGCTCCAGCGCACGGCTGGAGACTCGCTGGCCCGAAGCAAATGGTCAGCCCGGGTGGGCAGAGCGGGCAGGGCAGCGGTGCCAGGGCAGCCGGGCGTCACCTTGTCATTGTGGGCAGGCAGATTTTGAGCTGCTTTGGACTCGAGCTTGCGTTAAGGTTCGTATCTGCTAGCTCAGGCTGGAGGCAGGGGAATACCTGGGTGTCTGGAAGAGATTTGTTGGCGATTACAGAGGGGGGAGCTGGAACAGGGTGTCCTCACTGCTCAGTCCCAGGCGGCTGAAGCAGCTGGACAATACAACCCCTACCCTGATACAGTTTCCAGTTTGAAATCATAAAGTGGATAGAAATGATTGTAAACCAGGATCAGTAACAGACCGGGACTTCCTTCAAGACTGATGATAAACGCCAGCCTGCAAGAGAGCAGCAGGACTGCTGTTAATTATTCAGCCAGGCAAAGTGCCTGAAGCAAGAGCAAGCACAAGGCAGACATTGCTGGGTTTGCACTGACGAACCAGAGATGGGCAACCCTGAAAGGTTAAATATGAAACAGTCCATTGATAGTATCTGAACAGAGCCCTTATTTCATAACACGCTGAGCTAAAAATAAGTTAAAAAAAAAAAAAAGGTGTGTCCGTTTTCATAGGTGTTGGGCAAAGTCTGGCCTGCTACTGGCACTAATCCCAAAACCCTGGTGTCCAGGTTTTGTCTTTTTCCTCCAGCTTCCAATTCCAAAAAGAGCCACTTACTCATCTGAGGCTGCCCATATGCACTTATGCTTCTTAGATTCTTAAGTATGTCCTGCAAAATCAGGCAGGATTAGACTTGACTTTTAATTTTTATTTGTACAGTGTTCTCTGATTTTTATCGCAAAGAAAATCAGGAAGAAAAATAAAGGTGGGACACACACACAAAAAAAAAAAAAAAAAAGGAAGAGATAAATCCTTTCAAGTTTCCTTGCCCAGACGAATAAAACAAACATCAAAAGAAATCTGTACTGGTCCCTGTAAAACTCTCGGCTGCTCTGGAGCTCTAAAGAAGGGAGGTTGAAGCAGCCCAGGGGTGCGTGGTCGTTTTGAATGGACAGAGCTCAGATGGAAAACTCGATGCTGATTTCTGTACAAAGCTGAGGCAGAAAATGTGGAGTTAGGATTTGCTGTCCTCTGCTGGGAATTGCTGGGAAAATTTCTATTGCAGCGTTTTGCAGCAGTGGCTTTTACACCTTCCTGAGCAGCTGAGAAAGTAACTCAGGAGAAACAGCAAAGGTTTGTTTCTGCCCGTATTAATTTGCAGAATCTGTAGTGATTTGGCTTCCAGCTAAGTGTTAAGTGTGAAAGAAGAATCTTCTGACTCCTCCAGTGCTGGTCTTGATGATCTCTGCCAGCCCAGACAGGGACACAGCTCTGCCTGCCCCAGGTCACCCCAGACTGCATCTGTTCACTAAATCTGTGCTGGGAAGAGCAGGGCTCTCCCCGCTGCATCGACTGGTTCGGCTCTGGGCTGTGATTATGGCAGGGCTGTAACCAGCATTGTCTTTGTTGTACAGGCTGAAGCTCCACCAGCAGCTCTCCTGTGTTGGGTGCTGGGGTTAGATGCTCTGTAGGTCAGCAGCTGGGAGGATGCCCTCAGATTGGGAAATCTGCCTTGGATTCTGCAGTTTGACTCCCTGGTCTGAGTCCTTCTTCTTATTTTCCTGGCTCCTCCAAGAATTTTACGCAGTGCTGTCCCCTCTGCTGACATCTGTTGAAGTCCTGGAACGGAGACAAAACTTCACTGGGAGTCCTCCTAGGGACACCCTGCAGCACCTTCAGCACTTCAGCTGCCTGGTGTAGCTGTTCCTGCACTTCCTTTGCTTCTCCTGACTCAATATTTGTCAGTGCAAGGCTGGAGGGTGCAGCTGGAAGCCATGGGATTGAACATGATGATTTACAGCTCTTCTCTTCCTGTGGGAGATGGGATGGGGATTTCCAAAGCAGTGGGATTTGGCAGGAAAAGCCTTTTTTGTCATCTGTTTGCCTCTTGGGAGGGGTCAAGGAGGTGCTGAGACACCCCTGGAAAACACCACTGAGAACCCTGAATTACAGCTGTCTGTCTGAGGACCTCCCTTCCCTCGTGGCAATCTGAGCAAGGAGCCTCCAGAGGGAGAGGAGCTGTCACGGAATTGCTGCAAACAGCCAATGTGGCCAGCAGGAATAACACAGCATGCTGCAGCAATGGCTGCTGTACCAGGTTTTCATCAGCTTCAGAGAATAGTCTCATTTTCAGCCAGACCTGCTCTTACACAGAAGCGAATATGTAATCAAGGATTCTGAACACAGCAGGATTGATTGCAGCAGTGTTTTCAACATGTGACATCCACTGTCTTTGTTCCAGAATACAGTGAAGGCAGCTGGCCTGCCCTAAAGGACAACAACCTCCAAGCAGATGGCAAAGCAGAAATTTCCATATCTTGATTCCCTTATCTTCATGCATTAGGGAAGGAGAAGGCAGTTAGAATTAATTCTGACCTTTAAGCATTTGTGTTTCCCTTTTCTTTCATCTCTGTTACCTCCAGCTCATTTCTGCAGGTTGAAGGGAATAAAGATGAGCCCTTCATGCTTTTCTTGGTGTCCCACCTCATCCCTCAAAGAGCACAGGCTGCCAAAGCCACACAGGGTAACACCTCTGTGTGCAGAGCTCCACTGAGCCCTTCAAAGGACTTTCCTCTGCTGTCCTTCCACAGGAATCAACTCTTCTCTAGGAGATGACCCATGGGTTTGCAGAATCTGTTAAAACATACTACTGACATCAGATTGGTTTTTTATTTGCCTGCTGCAGTTCAGCCATAGACAAGAAGACGGGGGAGAAAGTGGCCATCAAGAAGCTGTGCCGCCCGTTCCAGTCAGAGATCTTTGCCAAGAGAGCCTACAGAGAGCTGATGCTGTTGAAGCACATGCAGCATGAGAATGTGAGTGCTCATTTCTCCTCTTCCTGCTGACACAAGAGGTGTTTCCTTGCCACCTGGGAGCAAGTCCTTTTTGGTGGCATCACCTGTGTTTTAATTGACATTTGGTATGTGCAGGCTGTCTCAGGGCTTACCTGTGACCTGTTTGCTGTGCCCAGGATGGAGCAGGTGTGTAATGGGTGAGCCCAGGTATTAGTAAGAGGGAAAACATTTATGCAGCATCAGTGAGGAGTCCCTGGGTTCCTCAGATGGAATTTTCTGTGTCCACCCTCGTGTATGTGCCAGTGGAGAGCTGATAAGTGCTATGTGCACAGCAAATGCTTTCCAGATTTACATGTGGGCTTCTCTCCTTCCTCAGGTTATTGGGCTGCTTGATGTCTTCACCTCCACTGCCTCCTACCATGGGTTCCAGGACTTGTAAGTCTGGAGTTGTTTGCTCTGTGTAGACTTAACTGCTTTCCAAGACAGCTGTGTCTTAGCAGCAGCATAACAGAGAGGGCTGAGGCGCAAAGGGACCAGACTAGAATCCAGGCATCCCCAAATAACACAGAGAACCCAGAGCACACATCAGCTCCCATGGCTGACACACCCAGAACACGTAAACAGATCCCACCCCTGCTCCCAGCTGGGACACCACAGCAGGCACAGACCAACCTGTGCAATGAGGATGTGTTACATTCCATGCTGCATCACACCTAGGGTGATCCACGTCACTGTGTGACTGCTGAGCTGAGGGGCTGCACTCAGAATGGGAGCATTGTTCATCAGGCCTCAGGGCAATTAAACTTAGAATTTGAAAGATCTGCCCTTCTTTTCCTCTTGATTCTGGCTGTTCTCAATTTTTTTGGCATTATCCCTCTGCGTTCATGGTCATGTTGGACAAGTCCTTTTTCCTTCCCCATCACTGCAGATGAGCAGTGTGTGCCTGGGTTTGGGGTTTGGCTGATGGCTGAGTGTTAGCAGCCTGCAGGACGAGCATGTGAAGGTTCTCAGAGCAGTTCCTGCAGGAAGACCATCAGTTAATTAGCAGCCTCAGCAGGCAGGTACTGAAGGAAGCTGGATGTTGTCTTCTGAGGCAGGGCTGGAGAACATTACAATGACAAATTTGGGAGCCAATGCAGCTCCTTTGCTGGGTAAGATGTTTCAGCTCCTGGGTGGTGAAAGGCTGTACAAAATTGAACTTCACTTGAGGTCTAAACTAATTCAGGATCCTGAAGATCCTTGTACTTACCTGACCTCAGATACCTGATTTCAGAGGAGAAAGAGCAATTTTCAGAACAGGTTGAAATTCCAACTTCTCTTAAGGATGTGCTAGTTAGCCAGGAACTGTCACAACAACTCATCTTCCTTACAGTGAGTTACACAGCCAGAAAAACCAAACCAAGTGAGAACAAGGCTAGCCTGGTCCCCTGCATTTTTCTTCCAGACTCAGGGCCTTGTCTTACTGCCTTTTAGCTACCTGGTGATGCCATACATGCGGACAGATTTACAAAAGATCATGGGACATGAATTCAGTGATGAAAAGATCCAGTACCTGGTCTACCAAATGCTGAAAGGGCTGAAGGTAGGTGGGTCTGGAGGAGTTTAGTGACTCCCTGTGTCTCCTGTGTGTGTCACCTCTGGGCTGACCCTAACTAAACTCCCCTCCAATACTGTACAGGAGGATGTGGGGAGTTTATGGCATCCCCTCAGAACAGGTATTGGCTGTTGAACCATTCCTGTTCCAGCACACATCAATAAATGAGTGTTTGCTTACATCAGTTGGGTATCAAAGTAATCAGCAGCCACAGGCCTTGGGATGGCTTTTCCATCTTGCTTCTTGCCCAAACCCTTAGCAAAACTCTGCACAGAGAGGGAGAGACTGGCAGCAGCAGGAGCTCCTCTGAACCCGTCATCAGGGGAGAAGACAGAGGAAGTGATTTTCTATTCAGGAGCATAAGGAAGGAACATGTTTCTGTAACTGGCTTTGAGGGAGCTGAAAGCAATCCCTGCAAACTCTGGGATGTAGAGACAGAGCTTTCCAGCTGTCCTCTCACATCCTTCACCTGGAGTCACAGCAGTGGCTTACAGGCATCAATGGGTTCACCTCAATCACCCCTCTCCCCCAGTCACAGCTACCTTGTGTTTAAATGAAGATGGGAAGAACACACAGAAGGTTTGACTGGTATGCTAAAAACCCTGAAGTCAGTTTTGCAATTTTATGGTTTTGGGCCGAGATTATTTTTTTGAACACCCAAAACAACCATGTTCTCATGTCATCTGCTGTAACCTTGATGACTTTGATAGTTAGAAGCTGTTGCACTTGCTCTGAGGAGCTATTGCTTCATCCCTCTTCTCCTCTATGCATCTTCTTTAGACTGGCAATATCATTGTAAATACTGACGGTAATTTGGGGCAGAAATTTCTCTTTCCAACTGCTGCCCTAGGGACCAGGGACCTGTAGAAGGCTGCAGAGGCTTGTTCTCAGCAAGTTCTTGTTTGTAGCTCTCATTTCTCTGCTGGAGAACAGAAAATTTTGTCTGCTGGTGATCACATTGTGGCTCCTCTTTTTATTGCAGTATATTCATTCAGCTGGCATTGTCCACAGGGTAAGTTCATGTGTGTTTTTATTCTGATTTTTGTCTGAGAAACACAGCATAGTCATAAAGTTAATAAATTCCTAGCCATCATTTCACTAATAGCATTGTCTGCTCTATTTTCCATCCTGTCTGCTCTATTTTCCATCCTACATCCCCTATATGTTTGGATTTGCTAATTTGTGCAGCATTTTGAGAAAATGCTGTGTCTTCTGATGAGCTGAGAAGCATTTTATGATGCTTTTTGAATTAAAACTGTTTCAGAAAAGAATAAAGTAGTAATCTAATGCTGCTCAGTATAGCAGGCATGGTGTTTACTCAGTCATTTGCTGAATTGATACTGAACCTGGGGTGTTATGCGACCCCATCAAAGGCAAGCAGAGGTTCAATTGAGAGTTGTATTGATGCATTGCAGCTTGAAACATCCAATTTTTCTGCTCCTGTCTGTTGTAGGACCTGAAGCCAAGTAACCTGGCTGTGAATGAAGACTGCCAGCTGAAGGTAGGTGGCAAAGCAGCACTTTGCAGCACATCAGCTCCTGGAGGAACTGCTCTGCCAGCAGGAAATTGGCACTGTCATGTTTCCTCCTTCCCCCTGAGCCTCCATTCCAGGCGTTGTGTTCTTTGGCGGCTGCAGCAGTGGGAAATACTCCCCTGCTGATGTCACTTGCTGAATCAGGACACAAGACCTCAAATGAGCCTTCTGTCACTGTAATCCCCATGGATGGCAGTGTGTAATGACTTCCTAGAGAAATTCAGCACTGCTGAGCAATGCTTGAGCAGGTGAATGATCTCTGAAGGGTAACTGGATTCAGCTGCAGTTGCCTTTTGGTTCTTATGGACATTGTGGTTGTGATTCCAGACAAAGTCATTTTCAAGATTGCTCTAAAGGGTTTGCTTGCTGCTGGCTGGTGTGGTGCTCTAGCATGCATTTTCTGTAATGTATATTTCAGGGAGTGGCTCTGCTGCCCATAAAGATTGGGTCAAGCTTGTTCATCTGCAGCATTGAGGGAGAGGCCATGCTGTGTCACCTGCAAGGTGCTCTTATAGGAAAGGGTGAGTTGTGGTGACCTGGGAGCACACCTTCACCACCAGGTCACAGACCAACTCCAATAAAGCCCACTGACTCAAAACCTAAGCTTCAAGAAAGGCAGAGACCATCCAGGGAGCACAAAGCACCGATCCTTTTAGCAGGGTCTTCTCATGACAACAGGTTTTGCAGCTGGCTTGCAATTTACAGTGGAATTAAGACATATTAATTCTTTGAACCATCCCATGGGTGTCTGTGGTTTAGCTTTGTTATTATCTGATTGGAGCTACTCCATTTTCTCTTAGAAGTAGAGCCTCACTTGCCCATAGGATTTCTCTTTTATCTCCTACCCTCCCTTCTCCTTGTTCTTCCTTTGGCACTGCAGATCTTGGATTTTGGCTTGGCCAGACAGGCTGATGCTGAGATGACTGGCTACGTGGTCACACGGTGGTACAGAGCCCCAGAAGTCATCCTGAACTGGATGCATTACAACCAGACAGGTGAGCAGCCCTGCCCCAGCAGCCCTGCCCCTGGTGATGAGCTGGGGGATCCTGCTGGCTCACATCTCGCAGAACTGTCCAGTTGTTTTTCCTCTTTTTTGTCAGTGTTCCCTGGAGCAGAGCAGGTCCCAGAGGTGTTGCACAATTCCCAGTGTTGCTGCTTGCAGGAAATAATGAAAGCAGAGATTTTAGCAGCACAGAAAAAACAAGAGGAAGGGGGGAGGGAATGAAATTTAAATCAGTGCTTGCTGCAAGCAACAGCAAAAGTGACAGCCCCAGCAACCACTGCTGCTTTTTAAATGAATTTTTAAAATTTTATTTTCTTCCTTTTCCCTTCTTTTTCTCTCTGAACAGTGGATATCTGGTCTATTGGCTGTATCATGGCAGAAATGCTGACTGGGAAAACACTCTTTAAAGGAAAAGACTGTATCCTTTCAAGCTGATCCTTTTGCCTCAGCAGAGTAATAATTCTTAGTGTGTGTGTGTGGAAGGGTTTTTATGAATGATGCTACAGAGAAAAACAGGTGTCAGTCTGGTTTATCAGGAGGTAATCACAAGGACCAGTCTTTTTGGGAAGGAAACCAGAAGGGGACATCAGAAATACCTCTCTGTGGTGCCATGGTTCTTCATCAGCTGCTCAACCTTCTGTGGCCACAGCTCCATTCCCAAAGCTTTGCATATAATTCCAAGCCTATGGATGTGTGTCCTGGCATAGTTGTGCCAGAAAAATGATCCGTTGATGGAAATGCCATTCCAGGAAGAAAGGCTTGGAGCTCTTTTTGCCAGTCTAATGAATCTCTACTTGTGTGACTGTGGTGGGTTTGTATCATGAGCTAATTGTACTCTCGCAGGCTGAGCTGGGGTGGGGGTTTGCTCCTCAAAGGCTGATCTTTAACACAGCTTGCCAGACCTGGACCAACTGACCCAGATCCTGAAAGTAACAGGGCATCCAGGAGAGGACTTCTTGGAGAAGCTGGAGGACAAAGCGGTAAGGAAGTTCCTGTGGCAGAGGTGTCTGGGAAGAGCTTGACTTGTGTTTGGCATGGGAGAGGTGCTGCCTCCACAGCAGCAGGGAAGTGCAGCAGCAGCCTTTTTCCCTGGGCAAGGAAGGCATTTCTCTGTGCTGGTGGCACATCTGATGGACCTAGTGCTGCGTTGGGAATGGCTGTGTTTGGCAGGGACTCCCATGTGAGGTGCCTGATGCCCCAGCAAACCAATCTTCTCTGTTCTGCTTGGCTCCTAAAACAGAAGTATTTTTCTGTCTTGACCGATAAAAATAATTCCTTGTAAACTGTTTGCTGAAATGGGACATCTTTGGGATGCTTTGCTCTTCTCTTCATTTGCTTTTGCTCATCAGTGCCATGAGACTGAGAGCTGTATTCCACACCTGTCCACATGCAGTAACTGTGCTCTCCTTGCTCTTTCAGGCGAAGAGTTACATCAAGTCCCTTCCTAAAATCCCCAAGAAGGATTTGTCTGTGCTTTTTCCTAAAGCAAATCCTCAAGGTAAGTAACCTCCAGCATTTCTCATGAGTTTTCACAGTTGGAAGGGAGGCAAGCTGACTGCCACAGACCCAACGTTATTTCTCCTTCTCATAATTTCTTGCTACTTTTTTCCTTTGCAGTTTTTGCCCCTGCTTTTCCTCAGGGAAGTATCAGTTAAAAGCGGAATTATCTTTTATTGGCATTACAATGGCTATGTTCTGCTGCTCTAGCAATATTTAACAGACAGCTTATGTGAATTTTTCAGGGTAAGAATTAATCTCTTAGAAAGAGCTCTCTTCCCACATAGGTTAGTGGTGAGAGCAATCAAAACTCTTCTAGAAACTGAATGAAAGAAAGTCTTAAAATGATAAAACCAAGTGGGAATGGGTCTGACAGACAAGTCAGCATCTGAGTTTCCTGCCCTCCTCTTTACCAGGGATGTATAGGTTTCTATACAGATTACTCATGTTAAGACTCCTTTGAGATTCAGGGCTCTGAATGAAAGCAAATGATTAAAATTGAAAAATATCTTGAGGTTACTGGCTTACTCCTCATGTTTCTGCAGCCCAATCTGTGCAGCAAGGCTTATTCAGGTCTAATTTGGTATTTCTGCACAATTTAACTTGTGTAAGAGCTCCCGAGGTTGTTGTTGGGCAGACTTTGCATCCCCACTGATGGGAGCTCCTCGCTGCCTTGGCCAGGTTGAGGATTCTCTTCACTGCTCAGGTCTGGAGATGAAACACTGGAAATACCAGTGCCACTCTTGCAGGGTTCAATACAGGGTACCTGTGCTCCCCTGCACCTTGCCTAGCCCTGTTCCCATCCTCTACAGCTGTGGACCTGCTGGACAAGATGTTGCAGCTGGATGTGGAAAAGCGCCTTACGGCAACAGAGGCCTTGGCCCACCCCTACTTCGACCAGTTCCGAGATATCGAGGAGGAGACAGAGGCACAACACTCCTATGATGATTCTCTGGAACATGAAAAGCTTTCAATAGAGGAGTGGAAAAGTAAGAAGTTGATTTTCTTTGAGGTTCCTGTCTAGCATGGGACTTCCCTACCCCTCTTTCTTTCCTGTACAGATGCTGAGTAAAGCTGTGATTGCCTGCTGATGCCTCATGGTAGTGCAGAGATCTCGGGCTTTTATCAAAAGATCCCTCCAGCTCTTCAGGCAGACTTTTCTCTCTCCTTTGTCTCTTTCAGCTGCCACTAAATGCCTTTTTCTGCACATCCAACACTCCAACTTTTATTTGTGTCCTCTAAAATCACCCATTAATGGTTATTTTGTTCTGCTTTTCAAGAGCACATTTACAAGGAGATCCTGACCTTCAGTCCCATTGCACGGAAGGATTCAAAGAAGAGAAGTGGGATGTCATTATAGCGATGGGTGCAGCTGTGGATGGGATTCAGTTCTCCTTGATGACACCAGATTAATTCCACACCGCGTTGCTGGTGGCCAACTTTTGGCCTGTGGGACCTCTCTCTCTGTGCCAACACAAGGATGACACTGTGCTGCGGGCATTGGACTTTGTTCTTCTAAAGGGGAAACACCCCAGACAGTTTCAACATAAAAGACAAATATATTCTTGCTGAAACTTTGAGAGAATTTTACGTGGTGTTTCCTTTTTTTTCCCCCTGTATTTGTCCACTTGAGAGAAGACTGGTTTCATTCTTTCTCATTAGTCTTTTCAAGCACAGAGTTTAGTACATTAATTATTGATGAGGTAACAAAAAAAGGTAAAATTGACTGGGAGTCCTAAGCAAAAGGATCAGAAATACTGAATTTCAGCAAAACAAGACCTTAACCAATTTCACTCTGGCTGTGTCGTGCTTCCCTGAGCAGTCACAGTGCACCCAGTAGAGCAAGGCTGCTGGAATGGTGTCAGCTCCAGGGCACCACGGGATCACCCTGTGTTCAGAGCAGCTATAAACTCATCCTCTCATCCTGTACACACAATTCTGCTCAGATGCTTCCTCTCCAAAGAGCCACTGCCTCTTTTCTTATTTTTCCCCTGATTATTTCCTTCCCTGGGTTTTGATCAGTGCTGTCTCCTCCTCACTGCCAGCAGCAAACAAAGCCTGGGAATTAGAGGCCACTTACTACGGACTGGGAGTCCCAAGCAGCTGCACAAGTTACTATGAATATGGATCTGCAGGACATTTTCCAGCCTGTGCTGAAACTGGAGTATCTGCAGATCCACAGCTTACCAGTACAGTCACTTGATAGTGCAGGCACAGCTGCTCGTTGTGATAACACCTTTGGACTGCAACACCTTCCCTAGGGTGATCAGGCAAATTCAGCCAATCATTCCAAAGTCCATCCCAAGGGATATGTGCCAAGAGCCAAGGGCCTTCTCCATATCAGAGCTCATAGCACAGAGTGCCCAGGACTGGAGAAAAGTATTGAGAAGGTATATGACCTCAGTAATACATACAGAATTCTCAACTCCCCCCCTCTTCTATAGCTGCTGACTTGGTTTGGTTTGGTTTAGCCAGGCTGTTTGTTTTCAGTACTCTCTAATTTTCTTCTTAAGTAATGTTCCCTTTTGCTGTACAGACCACAAGTAAAGAAAAACCGCAACATTTCCAGAATTTTCTGATCTCTTTTCTCTACTGGTAACTGGGCAGTGATGTCATGTTGCTTGGCTGCCTCCCTGTTGCAGCTCCTGGCATGCAGCACTGGGGATAACCCTGCAGTGACTGCAGCTTTTTGATAGGATGGTGTTGATGTTTGCCTGCTGTAGCTGCACAGCTGGTCCATGATGATAAGATAAGGTTTCTCTTGGCTTGTATCTGTCTGGGTCATGTATAAGGCCTTTGCTTCACTCCTCTCTTAGGTAGGGGCAGTGGGCACAGAGCTGTTGTGATGTGTCCTCAATTCCCTGGAAATTAAATGTTTTCTTATGCAGCACTCTGTTGGAAAGAATGCTAGGGAGAAGCAGTAATGTTCTACTGACTCTGTCCTGAAAAACACAGCTTGGTGAGATTTAGGCTTCATCCTTTCCTCTTGCTAAGGAACAACATTTATCTTCCTTGAATGGCAGAAGGCAGTTCTAGCTGCATCTGTCAAACTGCAGCTGGAATACTGGGCTTTTGAATCTGACCTGGCTGCCATGTGCATAATCTTGAACAGAGGCTGGAGAGAAGCCCTCTGCAGCTGCCATTGACATCTCAGAGAGCTGCAGATGTTTAGAGCTGCCTGTGCCAGGGTAAAATGAGGCTTGGTGCTTTGCAGCAGAGGGTCACTGTTCAGGTAAGTGTTTGTGAGTGCACAGGGAGATGCTTCAGGGCTGTGGGTGAAGCCCTCCTGACTATATGCAACCCTGGACATGGAGAGGCAAAGAAGTCTTAAAAGCTCAGTCTTGTATATAAATGTAAGTACCTCTATAGAGACCTTTAGAGTAGAGAGCTTTCTTTCAGAAAGTCATCTCTAAAGTCAAAGTCATCTGTTAAGGCAAAGAACCCATTCAGACAGAACTCATGAACCACTGCAAATGGGAATGCAGGGTATTTCTTAATCATCTTGCCCTCCTTCAGAAGGGGATAGGTAAACCTGAAGAGTCTTCTGTCTCAGTAATGATGGCTGACGGAGAAAACATCTTCATAATAAAGGAATGTACTGAGCAGTCTGCTGGTAGTTGAAAAGGGACTAGGATAGTTGTAAAGAATAATTTAAAATGCCCTTTGGGAATTGTCTGTCTGGGCAGAGGACAAGCATGAAGAGGCACTGGGGACATATGATACAAACAGGTGTGAGAAGAACAATTGTGAGCATAACCAAGTAGGGTACACAGATTCTACAAACATCAGTCTCACTTGTTTTAGGGATTGCACATAATCTTCAGCATCAGTCTTTCTGCTGAGTATACAGTCAGTTTCAGGACTGGGTTTCTCGGTAGGTTTACACTTACCCTGAATGCTCTGAAATTGCAAGAGCAATCCCAACAGCTGCTGTGTGGGCTCCATGCTCTGGTTTCATTCATTCACCCACCAAACCCATACAGTGACAGAACACTGTGCAAAAGGATTACCCAAAACCCCAACAAATGTGGGGAGCAGGTGCTCTGTAAGTCCAGGAACCCTGGAGGTGTATGTATATTTGGTTTTTTGTGGTTTGTATAATCCAAGAACTCAAAATAGACAGTAGAAAATGTAGCAGGTTGGTAGTGGAAAGAGTATCTGTACATACCAACCATCCCAGTGCTCCTATAGCATCTGAGGACATGTTTGAATGAACAGCAATGAGCTGCCAGAAGGGAGAGGTGGGGAGAAATTCTACTGACATTTCCTAAAGGAGTTTGAAAAGCACCTGCTTGACAGAGCCAGTGACTCAGGCCAAGGCTGGAATCCTCCAAAATCAGCACCAGAACTGAGAGGGGGTGTGTGACCCTGACAGACACTGTGAGTCAAAGCAGAAATTACCTCATGCAGAGGTGCACGCAGTGCCCGGTCGATGACTCACACTGACACATCATTCATGGACATTCCTTTAATTACAAGTATAATTTACATTCTTAAAAACACAAAACCAAGTGATAAAAATCCCTCAGCCATTAAGTGGTCCAAAATTCCATAAATCAGACCAGCCAACAATATATTTGCTGTTTGTATTAATTTTCTATTATATAAATTTACACAGATATATTTATGGCATTTTTGTGCCTGTCTCAGATAACTTACAGATGTCAAACCTGGAGTACTATTTACTCGCTATTCTTACATTAATTTCTGACTTCCAAACATCATTTTTTAATTTGGAAAATAAAGCCTTCAGAAACAATCTTTCTCTGTAAGTTTGACAGTTAATTAGTCTGTGAAGTTGCAACTTTATGGGGCCTATTTATTAGGTGTACATGTAAATGGGAAAGAAAAAGCAGATGAAGGAATAATTATTTCATTTTCTTAAGAGATGCCACAGAATCAGGGGATTTTTAAAGAGAGATAATAGTAGCTGTGTTTTGGATACCACCTAGAAACCTTTCAGTGCATAATTCTGAAAATTTCCATAGCCACTTAGCAAATTACTTATTTTATCCTGTAGGAAAAAGACATATTATCTGTTTTGATATTTACCATTTTCACATTCTAGGTAGCAGACTAAACTAATAATGTTCATGTTTTAAGTATGTGACAATGGGAAAGAGGAAAAACATAGAAAATTATAAACACATCTGAGAACTCTAGCGAGATTCTGTACTAAGGATGGTAATACCTTTTCATATTCCTATGTCTTGCTGTTGCCTGAGAAACCAGGGAAAGCGTTCCTAATCCTCTGCATTTTTCCTGTATCATGGGTCAGCAGCATGTTGGCTGGAAACGTGATTATGGCTGTTTTTCTATTTCAGCTGAAAGAAACAAGACGATTGAATGAAGACCAGAATAGCCACTAGTAATTTGCTTTCTCCCCAAAAAGGATGGACACTTGCTGCACTAATTGTACTTATCATTAAATCATTCAGGTTGGAAAAGGTCATTAAGATCATGGAGTCCAAATCTACACTGGACACATCAGTTTCCAGGTGAATGTAGTTTAGGGGATGTTTTGCCTGATTTCTCTTTACAAGGCCATTTTCTGAGCCCATGAGCTTACACAGCTTTTAATGATGATGTTCAGCTGGTGCTGGCTCACAGCTGATTCAGTCAGCTCTCCTTTTTTGCTGGAATGCACTCCATTAAATAATACTGAAGGGTTAGTATATTTGCAACCCTCATTGATTTGCTGTTACATGAAAGTGAGTTAATTTCTTTTAGCCAAGTTTGGCTGTAAAAATAAATATCCTCCTGCCATAAACCATTATTTCAGATCTGTCTTCAGAACACTTCAACAGAAAAAATTGTTTTAAAATTAGAGAACATTGAAATTTAAAATAAGAACCACTGAGGAGGTAGGGCTGGGTGCTTGTGTGACCTCTCTGATGTGAGTGAGGCTGAAGAGGGTTATAAATATATGTATAAAATTCCAGTGAAAATACATGGCAACTGAGGCTTATCACTTTTGAGATATCAAATGCACAAAGGACCTGTTTAGCAATTGCTCTAATTTTGGCAATTCTGAAAACAGCAGCAGAACAAACAGCCAAAAAGAGATACAAATATAAGTCAGTTTTGAGGCTTCATAAATCAACAAAGAAAAAGGTCAGCTCTCAATTATAAATTATACTTCTCTTCCCTTTTAAAGTATGTATTATATACTTGAATAAACATGAAGAAAATTGTAATATGAATGAAGGTGCCCAACTCTGTTTGAGGTGTCCTGGCTGTTGCTTTCATTTGAAGCAACTAATTTTGCACTTGCACCCTTTAAAAACTGGGACAGCAAATAAATTGAATTATGCTGTGCCTCTGGGATTTGTGAGAAGTTCAGATCTTTTTTTCAAATAACACGTTAGTTCCACGGCTTTGATATAAAATGAAATGATGTATAACTTGTTTTGATGTTGTAACACATGGCCCTCAGTCATCAGAGACGTCTGGACATCTCTGTGCACAAGTCATCCCAGTGTTCTTAATAGTGAACCTAATGTAATTATAATAAGCTAATTCCAGTGCAAATTTAAGAGTATAAAGTTTCAAAACTGAGGTCAAAAATTAAAGAGTTTGCAAAAGTTGGTCATATTAAAAACTAATTTAAACAATCAAGTAAAACACAGTTAAAATTCCACATAAAGAAGAAAAATCACAGAATGTCCTGGGCTGGAAGGGATTTAACATCTGTTTGCAGTCTCCTGCCGTGGGACACCTTTCACTAGAGCAGGTTACTCCATCCAACAGCTCCCCTGGACAACCTGCTCCAGTGCCTCACCAGCATCACAGGGAAGAATTTTTTTCCTATTACTCAATCTAAACCTCCTCTCTTAGTTTGAAACCATTCCCCCTTGCCCTGTCCCTCCATGCTCCTGTAAAAAGTCTCTCTTCATCCTTACTGGAGGCTCCTTTCAGGTACTGAAGGGCTGCAATTAGGTAACCCCAAAGCTTCTCTTTTCCAGGCTGAAGAAACCCAGTTCTCTCAGCCTTTGAAGATTCTCATCAATTATTGAAATTATTTTATTTACTGTTTAACCAGGAAGCAAATGCAGCTATAGGTTGTTTTAGGGTTTGTTTTATCCTTTGTGGCTAGGACCATACCATTATACAGCTGTTCTTTTGAGGGTGAGATCCTTTGTAAATCAGTGAGTGTATTGGGACTTTATTTCTAAATCCTTGATATGTTATTTTTCATTAAAAAAAAAAAAAAAAAAGGGCTAGTTTATTATTTATTTTCAAGTTTCGGTATGTAAATAGTAGACCTTTAAAAAATACACACCGTATATACAAAGTAAATACTTCAAAGGGATACGTAAAGACTGTTCAGCAGTAAGTCACATCTTTCTCTTTGCTTTTCAAGCTGCAACAGCTCTGGTCCAACCTGAGTACTTTGCAAAACAGACTGTCACAGACTAGCTGCTCTTGGATTCCATGGTTAACATACGTTAAGAGACAAAAGATCTCCAGTTGGACTGTAAATGAGGGAAAACAACATTCTTTGCTTCCTTCTAAAACAGTTAATTCTATAAATTCAGATGGTGATATTATGCAATACTCTGCGCAGAGTGGGAGGTGGAACGCACATATGCTCAAGTATGTGGCACGCTCTATAAAAAGTAAGTGTGGGAGCCTCTGCAATTCCTATCTAAATTCTTATCTCAGTTGCTAACTTAACTTCTTCCTTGTTCAATCCCCTCAGTCCCTCTCTCGATTGTCCCTCCAGCCTGTCACACCTCTGCATGTGAAAAGGCCATCTGAAATATAAGTCTACAAAATAAATATGGGCTCTCGCTATTTACATCGTTTGATGTTGCTTGTAGACTAACTGTGGCAGGCAAAGGTTCTCTGGGAGTGTGGACTCCCAGGGTTGGACTCTGGCACCGGACCATGCTTCAGGGTGTTTCCTGGGACCCCACGCCTCCTGCAAAAAAAAAGTGGGCTGCAAAATCAAGACACCCCAAACGAGCCTGGGACAAAAATCCCACTTCATTTCCCATGGCCTGCCGGGGAAGGAGGTACCACTCACAGCCAGTACATCTACACCCGAGTTCCCAAACCCCAACCCCGCGGATGATGCGGGGGGCAGGCGAGGCGCAGAGCGAGGCCGCAGCTCCCCGGCGCTGCCCGGTCAGCCACGGACGGGGAGAACACCGGCAGCGGCGACCCCCGCACAATCCACGAGGGCAGCGCGGAGGGACCCCCCGCCAGCCGCCGGGGCCTCCCGCTCGGCGCGGCCCGGGTGTGGGAAGGCACCGGGGAGGGGCGGGCGGTGCCTGCCCGCGGGGGGAGCGGAGCGCGGAGCCCCCTCCCCCGCCTGGCCGCTGGCTGCCGCCTCTCCCCGCCGCTCGGCCGGCCCGCGCCGCCACCGCCACCGCCGCCGCCTCCATCTTGAGCGTGTGTCCCCTGCTCCCCCCCAGCCCGCCTCCACAGCACCGAGAGCGTCGGGGGCGCTGGAGCCCCGGGGGGGAGCGGGGGGGAGGTGAGGGTGGTGGGGGGCGAAGCGGCACCGGGGCCGGAGCGGCAGCGGCGGGAGAAGCGGCGGCAGCGGCGGCGGCGGCAGCGGCAATGAGGAGGCGGCGCTGAGGAGGCGGCAGGAGCCGGAGCGGACGGAGCCGACATCTTGTGCCCTCCCCTCCCGCCGCCGGCTGGGTGAGCCCGTCCGCCCCAGGGGGGAGGGGAGGGGGAGGCGGAGAGAATTAAAAAAAAAAAAAAAAAAAAAAAGGAAAAGAGAAAAAAAAAAGAAAAAGAGAAACAAAAACAAAAATTTCCCCTCAAAAGGAGGCGGCGGCAACGGTGGAGAAGCCGCGGCAGCGGCGCGCCGAGCCGGCCAGGTAAAGCTCTGCGCGGGAGGCCGCGACACCCTTCCTTCAGGGGTCTCTCCTCCCTCACACACCCCCGCGCCGGGGTCGCGGGAAGGTGACCGGGCGGGCGGGAAAGAGCTGGGGGAGGCGGTGCGCGGCAGCCTGCGGACCTCTCCCGCGTCCCTGCTCCGTCTCCGTGCGGCGAGAGCGGCCCGCAGTCCCTCGCCGAGGAGGGGGCAGCGGCGGAGAGCGCCCGGGGCCGGGGAACGGGCAGCGCCGTGTCAGCCGAGCCCCCCCATTGCCGCCATCTTGGCCCCCCCTTCTTGGCGGTGCGGCGGGGGTGCCGCCCACCTTCTCCCACGCGATTGGCCCAGGCGGGGCCGAGCGTACCCGCCGCTAGCCCCGCAGCGCCTCGCGTTGCTATTGGTGCTGGCGCTGTGATGGACAGCGGCGGCAGCCAATGGCCTTGCAGCCCTGCTGCGCTCGCGCTGCCCGCTCCCTGTCTCTGGAGGCTGTGGCGGTTCCGTGGGGAGACGCGGCCGCGGCTGTGTCCCGCCGGGTTCATCGTCTTCTCCTCCCCCCGGGACTCTTTCATTTCTGTCCCAGTCCCTGCGGTGCCTTGGCTGGCATCGCTGGCTGCTACTGGAGTTCCCTGCAGGGAGCCCTCGGTGCGCGGGGTAGCTCCTGAGAGGAGCTCCCGCCAGTGCTGACAGCTGAGGGCATGTCACAGTTCCCTCAGTTGCTGCTGAGAACTGACACGGCTCATGCCGAGCCCTGACTTTATACCTGAAACTTCACCCATGGCCCATCTCATACTCGCCCTGTTCCAGAGGGAGGGCCTCTCTCGAGGCCCGTGCATCTCTGTCAGCTTGACTTGGTTACAGCAGTATCAGGGCATTGATAAAGATCGAGATCTCTGCATGTGCCAAGGCCAGCTGCTCTGTCACATCTGTTGGGCACCGACACATTTCATTGTAGGCATCAATGTCAGTGTCAGGAACATAAACCCTTGGCAGGTGTGTGAGGGGACCATGGGCAAGAACAGACATGGCAGGAACATGAAGGGACATTGTCAAGGGCAGCAGGAATTTTGCTGCTGTTTTGGTTGGCAAAAGGTGCAGAGGGGGCTGCAGCTGTTTTGGGTTGCTTCTTTCCTCTGGCATCCATTGATTTTATCTTACAGATGTATTTTTTAAATAGCTCCTGGGATTGGCTCCTTCTTTCTGGAATAAGCTTGGACCTCTTATAGGTCCTGGTCCTGTGAGATGCTGCTTGCTGTGGCACACAGTTGAGAGTTTCTGGAGCTATGTCCTTCATGGAGTACAAATATTGCATTGGCTGAGTACAAATTGTGGGTTTGTAGTGTGTTTCCTTGTCTGTGGGTCCCACAGAAAGGAACTGAGTGCGTGGATTGCTTTAAATAAGGGTGAGGTGCTGGTTCAGGCCTCTGCATAGCAACAGATAAGCTCTGGGCTGGCTTATCTTCTCACAGAGAATTTACATTTGCTTTCCTTTGTCTCCTTTCTGACTTCTTTCAGCCTCAGCTTATTTATTCCCATAAGTCATGTTCCCATCCTTGACTCTGCCCTTCTCTCTTGCATTACTCACTTGGCTTCCTCTCTGCTTCCCCTCTTTGCCAGCTCCCTCCTTCACCCTCCGATCTCCGAGCTGCAGCCACCATGTCTGAATCCTCCCCCAGACCATTTCCCCAGGCTTCTCCTCTGCTCCCCTCTGACAGGCACCTCCTTAATGTCAGCAGCCAACTCTCAGCTAATTATCTGGCTTGCTGATTAGCAGTTTGTGCGGGCAGAGCTGGCTGGGGCTTTTTGTTAAGGCTCTGAGCAAATGCCATTTCACGGCTCCTGGTGCTGGGAGCTGTCTTGCTGCTTTCCTGCTTGTAGCCCTGTGGACTCTCCATAGCCAGGTGGCTCAGGTGGATGAATGGGAATTGTGGCTCCAGAGGGGCTAACGCCAGAGCTTGTAAGTCCATTGGGATCCATGCTGCTTGTTGCCTTTTTATCCTTCTTTGCTTTTTCGTGGAAGAGCAGAAGGGATTCACATCTTTTCTCTGCTGCCTTGCTCAGTTCATCCTCTTGTTTTGTTTGTGACCCTTGACAGAAGGAAAAGCAAAGCTGGAGGATGATTTTTCATTATGGGACTTTTTTGCATCTGCAGTGTCAGGATGGAAGGATTGGTGGTGGCAGCCCTGAGCTGTGAAACCTGGAGGAGCTCCCTCCTGGACTGAGGGAGTTTTCTCATCTGGAGCTGACAAAAAAAAATTAAATTGGAAATAGCATTCATAAGACCCAAACAGTGCATTCCTTTTCACCTGGAAAACAACCAGCACATTTGGGGATATAAATGAAAAGTCACAGGCAAAAGAGCAGAGGAGAACTTGTTGGTTTATGTGAGCTTAATATGTAAATGGTGCAAGAAGATGTGAACAATGTTGTTTGAATTTCAGGGGATCTGAATGGTTTGCTGATCAGGATGCACAGCAGACTGTTTGTATATTGTGCTGTCAAATTATTTTGAGTTTTTCTCACTGGTGGTGTGGTAGAATGTACATCTGAGGCGCAAATAGAGGAAGTTGGGGGGTACTGTGCTCTGATACACATTGCAAGAAATGGCTGATATATCAAAACCTGCCTGTATCTGCGGTGTAAAGACTCAGGGAGCCTGAAGTTGCTGGAGTGTCTGGTAGAAATTCATGCTATTGCAGCACTGAGTGAGTTTTTCAGTCTGTGCTGCTTCTTGCTTGTCTCCTTGTCTTACCCTGTCCTGTGTCCTGTTGTGTCCCAGGCTCTCTGGAGCACAGGGATGAGGAAGCCTCGGCGGAGGTGCCGGCAGCACCTGGAGAGGAGGCGTTCTCCCTCGCCCTACAGCCTCAAGTGCTCGCCCAGCCGCGAGACGCTGACCTACGCGCAGGCCCAGCGCATCGTGGAGGTGGACATCGACGGGCGGCTCCATCGCATCAGCATCTACGACCCCCTGAAGCTCATCACCGAGGACGAGCTGACAGCCCAGGACATCACCGAGTGCAACAGCAACAAGGAGAACAGTGAGCAGCCCCTCTTCACTTCCAGATCTAAGAAAACACCTTCCAAAGGCAAGAAGAAAGAGTCCTGCTCCAAACATGCGCCGGGGATATCTTTGCACTTGCCCCAGCCCAAGTTCCGTGTGGTGGACTCCTTCAGCCAGCCAGATGCCCCTCCCCTCCCTGCTGCCTACTACCGGTACATTGAAAAGCCTCCCGAGGACCTCGACGTAGAAGTGGAGTATGACATGGATGAGGAGGATCTGGCGTGGCTGGAGATGGTCAACGAGAAGAGAAGGGCTGATGGTTATGGGACAGTTTCTGCTGACACTTTTGAGCTGCTGGTGGATCGGTTGGAAAAGGAGTCGTACCTTGAGAGCCGGAACAACGGGGCTCAGCAGTCGCTCATTGATGAGGATGCCTTCTGCTGTGTCTGCATGGACGATGAGTGTCACAACAGCAATGTCATCCTGTTCTGTGACATTTGCAATCTGGCCGTGCACCAGGAGTGTTACGGTGTGCCCTACATCCCTGAGGGGCAGTGGCTTTGCCGCTGCTGTTTACAGTCCCCTTCTCGCCCTGTGGATTGTGTCCTTTGCCCAAACAAAGGGGGAGCCTTCAAGCAGACCAGTGATGGCCGCTGGGCTCACGTGGTCTGTGCCATCTGGATCCCAGAGGTCTGCTTTGCAAACACTGTGTTCCTGGAGCCCATCGAAGGGATCAATAACATCCCTCCAGCTCGGTGGAAGCTCACATGCTGTATCTGCAAGCAGAAGGGCATGGGAGCTGCTATCCAATGCCACAAGGTGAACTGTTACACTGCCTTCCATGTCACCTGTGCACAGAGAGCCGGGCTCTTCATGAAGATTGAGCCCATGAGGGAGACCAGCATCAACGGCACGACGTTCACCGTGCGCAAGACTGCCTACTGTGAGAGCCACTCCCCGCCTGGCACGGTGAGAAGAGGGTGTCCAGCTGCTGGTGGGGATTGGCAGGAGGTCACTGTGAAGGAGGAGGAAGAGGAGGAAGCCAATTCTGGCCCTCCCAAAGGGTCTGTGAAGAAGAACCAAGTGAAATTGAAGCAAAAGATCAAAAAGGAGCCCAGTGACATGACCAAAGGGCGTTCGTCCATGCCTGTGGTGGCTGTTGCACAAATTCCCTCTTACAGGTGAGTGCTGCAGGTTTAGGGAAGGACTTGGACAGCTGTAGCTGAACAGGGTCTGTTTTAAGGACTCAGTCCCTCTCACTGTTGACCTTGGAAACACTGAATCTTCAGTCAAGGCTTTAGCAATAACTGTTTTCAGGGTGCTCTGCAGCATAGCCTGTGGCTGGGTTTCTTCTGAGTGTCACTGTGGTTTTCTGGCTTTGGCTGAGCAGCCATCCCAAGCTGTTGTGTAATGCAGACTCTTAGGTGGTCCCTAATAGAAAACACCATCTACCATGAAGGCATTTTTAAAATACTTGAGGCATTACAGGTTGGTAGGCAGGTAGGGGTCATCCCATTATTAAAATTATTGAGATCTCATTCCGTAGTTTCTTAATTCCTCCTTTTATTACAGAGCATGTCAAACCTGACAGTGTTGTAAGCAGCTTTGACTTTGGCTGTATTTTTGTATTTTTCTCCCAGCTCTCCCTCGTGCAGAACTAGGTAGTGCTGAATTTTTGTTTGGTGCCTTAGGAGGTGTGTTGATGTGTCTATTTTAACAGATAGGTGATAAGGCACCATGTGTAAGATAAGAATGGTAAGCAAAGGTTAAAATAGGTGATCTATTATTCTTGGACTCCTGTCAAATTAATTTCCCAGGCCCCAGATTAATAACATCAAACTTAAACGGCCCCTGGAAGGTTCTTGACATGGGAAGTAATTTTGAAATTAAGGCTTGGAGCTGAATTGATGATTTCATACTTTGTGCTGTGGCCAGTGCTTGGTGGGACCCTCCAGTATGAAAAGGGGGCACATCTGTGAGGAGATCCCAGGTTGTCCCAGTTTGTGTGTACTTCAGAGTGAGCATTGACACAACACTGCAAAGCTTCATCAGGAGACCCTGGGCTCTGCAAAGCCACGATTGCTTTGCAGCTGGCTCCATGACACTCTGTGCTTCCTTCAGGCTGAACAAGATCTGCAGCGGGCTCTCCCTGCAGAGGAAGAACCAGTTCATGCAGAGGCTGCACAACTACTGGCTGCTGAAGCGGCAGGCGAGGAACGGGGTGCCCCTGATCCGGCGGCTGCACTCGCACCTGCAGTCCCAGAGGAACGCCGAGCAGGTACTGCTGCTCCCCCTCTGCTCAGGGGGCAGCACCCACAGCTTGCCTTCCAGGAGGAGATGAGCTTTACACATGGCTGGGAGGGGAGCGAGGGTGAAAAGATCAGTTTTAAGCCTCTCTTGATCTCCTCTCGGTGTGCTCATGCCTGAAGAACTGAGTTGTGTATTATGGGGATATCCATGATGCCACTGAAATTGCTGTTGCTGAGACAGCAGGTGGGAGTTTTTCCCCTGAGTCAGAAGACCCAGGGTTGTGCAAGGGTGTGATGGGCTCTTGGTGGAATGATCTCTTATATGAATGATTAAAACAAATTCCTTGGAGTGAGTAAAGAAAATTATTTTAACACCAGAATTGTGGCCAAATTCCAGTTCAGGTCACTCTCCCTGCAGCTTTAATTTCTGTCCATCCCATGCACATTGAGATATAAACACCAGTTCTGGAGTCTTTATGTCCTCTTTTGAGCTGGCATCCTTTGATCTTGGTGCTATTAAACAACACTGCATTTGGCATGAGAAGTAGTTGCTGGAGTAATGAAGCAGTAGGACTCTACCCTCTAAGACAGCCTGTCAGGAGGGATTGTATACAATGTACATGTATATTTTTATTGTAGTTGGATGAATTTACAGACTTTTGGTTTGCAAGAGGACTGCTCTGGGTGCTAAATAGAAAAATTATTCCCCACTCATCAGTGCAGAGCTTGGGAAAGTGCAGCATTTCCTTTGTGTATTAAACTGGCAATTTACATTAAGTTCTTAGAAACAAATATCCTATTAATATAAACCATGAAGATCTTGGGAAGCAATTGTCCTCTCTGCAATCATGAAAGTGTATGCACTTGAGGTGTGTCATCCAAATCACTAAAAAATCTACAGATTTAGGAGAGGACGGATGATTGTGTTGTGAAGTCACTAAACAGTGTCTTGGAAGGTGTGAGCTCATCTCCCAGTGTTGGCCATTCTTGGCAAATGTCTTTCCATGGCTCTGTTTTTTATGGGTTACAAAATAGCTCTCTTCTGCCCTGCTTTTGGTTCCCTTCCCTTTAGACTGTAAGAGCTCTGGGCTGCTGCTCCAATGCACAGGAAAATTTCCAGCCTCTGTAATAAACTTAGATATAAAAGCAGGGAGGGTGTAAATGAGCACACACTGAAGTGTGTTCCCAGGGTGAAGCTGCAGGATAATTTGGGGTAATTTCACAGATAAGGTAAAATCTAGAAAAGCTGATGTTCTCTCTGTTAGACAGCTAAATGTTGGAGGAAGGAGGGGACATGGTCTGAACGAGACAAGGCAGTAAGAGGAAGACTCTGAGAACAACTTTGAGAAAAAGAAGGAAACACAGGAAGCCTGTGGTGGTTTTTATCTCACCCCACTCATACTTTGCAGAAGGAGCAGGATGAGAAGACGAGTGCAGTGAAGGAGGAGCTGAAGTACTGGCAGAAGCTCCGGCACGACTTGGAGCGGGCTCGGCTGCTCATCGAGCTCATCCGGAAGAGGGAAAAGCTCAAACGGGAGCAGGTAGGGAGTTCTGGCCGTCCCATTCCTGCATTGTCCTTGATTTACATTTACAGTGGCTCAGCCCTCATTGCTATGTGAACAAATTTTAGGTAGGAGGATAAAAAACCAAAAACCATTACTGGGCTTTGTTTGCTTTTGATATCTTGGTAGAACCCTATCAGAGCTGGCTAAATCCATAAAAGCTTATAGAAACTGTGGTGTGCTTTTTAAAAGGATAAAATACCACAGGAAAGTGAATCTAGTTGGGCTCTATCCCAGCCCAGCTTTTAGGTGAGTGCAGAAGGATGCTCCAGAATCATGCATCTCTGTTTGGCTTTTTTCCTGTTTTGAGGGAAAAGTGTGGTCTTTGTCTATATTCATTCTCTCATTGATGCAGTCTTGTTGCGGAGCACATCAAATGCAGTTTGCTTTGTGTAAACAGACTTGCTTACCTTTGTTACTGAAGTGTTGATTTAATGACATAACGAGTGATTATAAGATCAAAGAAATGAAGATGTTAAAGGACAATACTTTCATCCTGTTCTTTGAATAGATTTTCCATGCAGGAGGTTTTCAGTGCTACAACTTGTTTGTTTGAAATCAAACAGTATTAGAGACTTCCTAAAGGATAGAAGGAACTGTATTAGGAATTTGCAGCCATCTAACCACTGTTGTTTGGTTTTTGCCTTGAAGTCTGAGATCTTATGTCTTAAACTTTGTTTTTGCTCTCTGTTCTTAATTATGGATGTTGTTCATATAAATGCCTGCATACTTTTAATTTTTATACAATGTTGCTAATTGGCATAATAACAATATCTTGAGGCAGGGAGTTCTCCAGGATAATTTACCAGGCATGAAAAGCCTGTTTTCATTTTTAATTGTGGTATCCTTTAACTTCCTGGGGTTTCCTCTTCTTTTGACTTTGAGATTGAATAAACAGGAGTTCCCCATGTAAAAGGATTGGACTGGGCAATGTACATGGAGACTGGAAGGTGTTTGCCAGAAGTTCTACAACAATGCTGGCCTGAGGCTTCCACCACTGAGTAAAGCTGGGGGGATGATTCAGAGGAATCTGGAGGGAGACACCACCCACAGATCCTGTCCTCAGTGGGTGTCCTCATGGCTGTGTTCCCGTTGCCAGGTGAAGGTGCAGCAGGCTGCCATGGAGCTGCAGCTGACCCCTTTCAACGTCCTGCTCCGCACTACCCTGGACCTGCTGCAGGAGAAGGATGCTGCGCAGATCTTCACAGAGCCTGTTAACCTGAACGAGGCAAGTCTCTTTCCTGGAGGTGCTTAGTGGGTTGTAGATGCATTATTGCTGGGCAGAAGCACAAACCACCTTGTCCCAGGCTGCTGGTGGACTAAAAACTATCTCAAAAAGGACTGATGATGTGTCCAGGACAAAAAAAGGGTATTTTTTTCTGAAAGTTTAGCACATCTTAGATGAGTAATGTTTTGCAGAGCCAGGGTGTGTCTGCCTTGCCTGGGTGACACAGAAATGAACATCTGTTGCTGCCCCTTGCCAGTGGAAAGGGCATTAAGAGTGCTTGTGATGGGTGCGCTCTGGTTGGCTAGTAAATGGTTTTTGTAATTGTACAGGTTTTATATGTTTAGGTTCCAGATTACCTGGAATTCATTTCCAACCCAATGGATTTTTCCACCATGAGGCGGAAGCTGGAGTCCCACCTGTACCGAACCTTGGATGAGTTTGAGGAAGACTTTAACCTTATAGTTGCCAACTGCATGAGGTATAATGCTAAAGACACGATTTTCCACCGAGCAGCTGTCCGGCTCCGGGACCTCGGGGGAGCGATTTTGCGTCACGCGCGGCGCCAGGCCGACAGCATCGGCTTTGACACTGGCGTGGGGATTCACCTGCCTGAGTCGCCCAAGCCCCACGACTTTTACCGCTTTTCTTGGGAGGATGGTGAGTAATGATTAGTGGTTTTTTCCCCCCAGGTAAAACATAGCTTTAGTTCTGAGCATGTCCTTCAGCCTGCATGGAAATTGTGGCCGTTCTGCATAGGAGAATTTTCCTATCCGTATGTTTACCTAGGCACATATAGAACTCCTCTAGAACCCCAGAGAGTGGGATTTCAGGTGAGCTGGGCACCCTGAGCTAGGTGCAGCTTAGCTCCAGCTCTCCTAGTGCATGTTTGTGTTGGCAGAGCCTTGTAAACTGCCCGTGCTCTTTGATTTGTGCCAGGAATGTCCTACAAACTCACTAATTTAAAGGGCATTGCAAACTCGGGTCTGGGATTTTTTGAGGAGGAAAGCTCATATATTTCATTGTTAACTGGCAAAATGTACAGCAGCTGTGTCAGATGGAGCACTGAGGGCTGAAAGGGGGTGATGAGGGGTGAAGGTACTGGGACCTTAGCAATCCTTCTAGCTGAGTCTTACCATTCCCAACACAACCTCATCCATTTCCACAGCCCTCTTGAGGCAGCTCCAAAGCATTGGTTGAGTAACTTGGCTAAACTTAGTACAGCCATCAAGCACACAGAGCTTGCAGTGTGCCATCTGGTTCCTAAATGTTGAAGGCCTCTTGGGTACAGATGGACAGTCATTATGAAATTTGTGTAGGTGTTCAGCTGTCTGTCCTGCTCCAGCGGATGCCAGCCCTCCAGCAGAGCCAGAGGAATGGAAAATATGTTACGTTTTGGCCCCTTATGTTTGCGGTCTGATTTTGTCATTTAATCTGACAATGAAATAGGTTTCTGACAAGGGCCTAGACCACAAGTTGTTCTGTGTGGGGTGCAGACATGTCCTTTCACTGTTGCCCCTGAGGCAGTAACAGGAACTGAGGGATGGTCAAGTTGAATCAACTGCTCTTTATCCAAAGAAGGAAGTCCAAGCTCCAAAGTTATTTCCCCAGGCTGAAGCGATTGATTAGTGGACAGCATCAAAGGGAATGAGGCCTGGCACTGGCCCCAGGTGCTTCTCCAAGAAGCCTTACTCCTTCCCCTCACTGTTCCCTTCTCTTGTGCTGCAGTGGATAATATCCTGGTCCCGGAGAACCGGGCTCACCTGTCGCTGGAGGCGCAGCTGAAGGAGCTGCTGGAGAAGCTGGACACGGTGAGCACCATGCGCTCCAGCGGCGCCCGGACGCGGCGCATCCGGCTCCTGCGGCGCGAGATCAACTCCATCCGCCACAAACTGGCCCAGCAGCAGAGCAAGGCCCTGCCCAACGGGGACACTGTGCCACGGGAGGGGCTGGAGACGACATCCAGGGAAGGGGATGAGGAAGGGGAGAAAGGTGAGCAGCGGGATTTTGATTCCAGGTCTCTAGTGCTCGTCAGCAGTCAAAGCCTGCTGTTTCTCCTGTGACTTTAGGGAAAGGTGGGAATGGCTGTTGGTAGTTTTGGGAATGACTCTTGCTAAAATGTTCAAGCAGATTCTCTGTTCCTTTAGCAGATGGTGCCAAGCTGCCATACCCTCCAACGCTGGAGCCCACAGGACCTGCACCCACCCTCTCAGAGCTGGACTCTCTGCAGGACCCTCCAACGCTCAAACCCATCAGTGAGAGCAGGTCCCTGCACCAGCTGCAGAGGAGGATGGTGTCGGACAGAGAGCTCTTCGACAAGAAGGCTCTGCAGCAGGAGAGCCAGGCTTTCCACCGCCTGCTGTCCAACAACGGCCTCAACGGCCTGGCCCTGCCGCCTGCAGACAGCCCTGCCAGCCCCGCCCTCAGCAGCGTGGGCCGGCGGACATCGGTCCTTTTTAAAAAAGCCAAGAACGGTGTGAAGCTGCAGAGGGGTCTGGAGTGCTCCCTGGAGAACGGGGAGGAGCACAGGCAGGACGGGGAGCGGCAGGCACGGAAACGCTCTGCCCTGGGCAGTGGGCTGGTGCTGGAGGCCTGCAGGTGAGTGGCCCAGGCAGAACTGTTCCCTGAAACACCTTCTGTGTGTGGGTTAATCTCTCTGATTCTGTTCTTTGACTTCTTAGTTCCAAACCCAGCCCAGACTGTTACTTGTGTGTTGACTCTAAAACACAAAAAGCTGCTGAGTGTTCCTCCTGTCCTCTGAAGCTGCAGGTCCCAAAAGCAGTGCTTGATTTTTCAAGCAAGTGGATGTGTGTTACACTGCTCTTTCTCAGTGCGTGCACATCCTCTCTACTGATGCAGTTCTTGGGAACCGAAACTTGGAAAAACTTGAATTCAAATTTTCAGTTCAGCACTGCAGGAAATGCTGAACTTTTACCACTTACTAAATATCTGGTTTCTTCCTCTCAAAAGTTTTAAGAGCAGAACTAGGAACTTCAAACATGACTGAACAGAGTTAAAGCAAGCATCTGACATCTCCTGATGTCTCGTGGATAACTTGTGCAATTATTCTATCCAGGAGCAGCTCTGTTTGCTACTTTTTCTCCAGTCTTTTCCAGCACCAAAATCACTCACAATAGGTTGCTTATTAGAAAACTCTAAAAGAAAAAAAATTACAATATGAAAATTGTGAAAAAATATGATTGCTTGAGGTGGAGGTAGTCCATTTTCTGAAATGTTTGTAGTAAGGGGGTGAAAGGATGTTCAGAATATGGGTGACAAAGTCCAGTTTCATACTGGACTTTCAGTGGGGGGCTGCTGTGTCATCTCTCAAGCCTATACACAACTGGTGTTCTTTTCATGTCAATGTTGCACCAGTGCTGTAATTTTTCAGAATTTTAACCCAGTTTGGGGAATCCATTGTCTTTGTTGTCCAGGATAATCTGTTTTCTTCTAATGCCCTACTTCTCCACATCTTCGTGACAGTGGTTTGGTGCCTCCCAAGCGGAGCCGAGGGAAGCCAGCTCTTTCTCGGGTGCCCCTCTTGGAGGGTGTGAATGGAGACTCTGATTTTAGTGGCTCAGGTGAGAATTGCTGCCCTGCACCCACCTGAACCAAAGCACCTCAAAGCACACCAGGAGCCAGTCCTGCACGAACTACCCAGGCTGGACCTGCCTGGGCACTGTTACCTGCTTTGTTACAGATTTAGGTTATTGCATATAGCATTTTCATTACTCCTTTTCCAGGACCAGGACTGGCTGACTTCATATCTATGACCAAATCCATTGTGGGGCCATTTGATTTCAGTGACTCAGTCTGATTAACGTTTCTGATTAACATGAAGAGTTAATGTGAAGCCACATGACCCATGATTTAGGAGACTGTGGCTTTATCTTAGTGCTGAACCTGACTGTACTGACAGAGCACAAAGAAGGCTGGAGTTTGGTACATGCTGAATTTTATAATAAACACCCAGTTCATATAGATACAAACAAGTGATTTTCCTTGCTGTCTTGTCAGTGTGCTTTAAGTACTGCAATTGTTCATCTGTTATAGTTGATTGCTACTGAGATGAGGCCTGGGTGAGATGACAGTGTGATTCCTTGTGTTTTCTTGCTGGCACCTAAGCTCTGTCTCCTGCTGTCCCTTAGGCAGGCCTCTCCTGATGTCCTTTGAGGAGGCTGAGCTGGAGCCCCTGGAGCTGGTGTGGGCCAAGTGCCGTGGTTATCCCTCCTACCCTGCCTTGGTAAGTGCCCTGTGGCTCTCCACAGCCTCACCCCGCAGCTCAGGTAGCCCAGAACACAGTTCTGTTGTGCACTGTAACCAGACGGAAAAGGAAAACTTCCCAAAATAATGTAAAATGTGCTTTTTGTTTCTCCTTTCCCCTTTGCACAGTGAATCTTCCCTGTGCTCATTGTTTCAGGGCTTTGCAGAGGATTCATAAAACATTGGTCTCTCATTGTCAGGGGTAGGAGCTCTTTCACTCTCCTCTGAGGAAAGTAATCAGTACTGTGGGGATGAGAAAACCTAAATTTTATAAATGCAGGCACTGGGTTCTGCTGCCTGCACATTTTCCTGTTTGGTGAGCACAGCTCCATCTGTAGGTGCCCAGCTGGCCCTGTCATGTCTACATCCTCTTGCAACAACCATATGTTTGATTTAAATATGAGCATATATGCATGTCCCTTGAATGTTATTTCTTACTGTTTATCTGCCTTTGCATATTTATCTATTAATAAATGGATAAATATCAAAAAGAGCAGATTTTGCTGGAAGTGTGACTCTCATCCATGTTCTTACTCCTAGTGGGAGCCCAGAAGAGGGAATATCCATGGATTTTCTGGCCATCCTGGCCAGCCAAAGCAGTTTTAGTTCTCCACGTGGCTACAGCCAGAGTTAAACTGTGGCTTAGAATGGATTTAACCACTGAGACTGCCTCCAAAAAAGGCTTTTTCTATAGCAGCTTGTTGTGGTGGCAAAGTGTCTTAATAAATTCCTACAGATGGCCAATGTCAAAGCCAATTCACTTTTTCAAGGCCTTAGGAGGGGAAGAAGAACAGACTGAGTACTGCAGCCACCTTCTGCTGTTTTCTTCTGTGCTGACATAGCACAAAAGTGCACATGAACATTTCTGCTTTACAGGGGGAGAATTTGTTTGTTGTGACTTATCTTCAGAATTACTGTAGTCTCTGTTTCCCTGGCTTGATGGTGCCAACACTGCTTGTCAACTCTCAAAATATTTGGCCTGGTTCTGATCTAATGCAGTGTAAATCTGAGCAATGCCACTGATGTCAAGTGAGTTGTCCCAGCACGGAGCTGTTGTGAAATCACATTTGCCTGTGGAGTACAGAGGAGCATTGCATTTATTTGGAGTTTGGTGTGAGGGAGGGAAATGCTTTGCTGAACAGAATAACACTGAGTTTGTACTGAATTACACATTAGTGTAAAGGCATTTACACTAATGTGTAATTCACAGAACCACACACATCCATTTTTCAAGATGGGGTGCCTGGCTTTGGGACTGGCTGGCTTCCCTCCCACAGGGGAAGCCTCAGGCTGAAATTTTTTTAGAAAGAGATACTGAAAACAAACAATTTTGCTTACCCACCAAAAGTAGACTTAATTTGTCTAGCTTAGATACACTGAAAGAACAGGAGAAGAATGCATTCTGTTCATTGCTTGGAAGGATTTTGTGCTGAATGTCCTCCCCGTGTCCCCAGATTATCGACCCCAAGATGCCGCGCGAGGGTTTGCTGCACAACGGAGTCCCCATCCCTGTGCCCCCCATGGACGTCCTGAAGCTGGGGGAGCAGAGGCAGACAGAGGCAGGAGAAAAGCTCTTCCTTGTCCTTTTCTTTGACAACAAGAGAACCTGGTGAGTGTGGGCACAGCTCCGTGGTGAGGGGCAGCGAGAAGATTTAACATAATCTTTGCGATGTGGGAGCACACAGGGATTATGATGATGTTACATGGAAATTGGGGAATTTAAACATGCAGAGGGAAGTCTGTGCTCATAAGGCATTCTGGCTGCAGGGACTCCTTCTATGTCAAATGCAGGGATTTAAACATTTGTACCGTTGTTGTGGGGCGTTGATGATGAATAAATACATGACATGGGTGTAACTGTTCCTGGGGAGGAGGTGACAGCTCTGTGCACTCCTCCCTGCTGCAGGCAGTGGCTGCCACGGGACAAAGTCTTTCCCCTGGGCGTGGATGACACCGTGGACAAGCTGAAGATGATGGAGGGACGCAAAACCAGCATCCGCAAGTCGGTGCAGGTGGCCTACGACCGAGCCATGATCCACCTGAGCCGAGTGCAGGGGGACAACCCCTTCATCCCTACCTACCTGTGAGGGGCTGCTGGGGCAGCCTCTGCTCCTCCACACCCACTGCACTGCAGAGTGCAGCACCTCCAGCAGCTGTCAGCACCCCTCAGAGCACCCTGAAATGTGCCAAAAAAACCCTGGTCCAGCTTCTTCCTGAATGTGTCTTGCTGAAGAGCTGGCAGGAGGTGAAATGTAGTCTACAGGGGGTAAGGTAGGTAGGAAAAGCTGACAGGTGACAGGAGCCAAGGTGAGTTGCTGTGGTGAGCAGAGCACACAGCACTTGGATGTTGGGACCTCATGCAGCGTCCCCTGCCCCTGCCTCTCCTGGACTACCAGGGTTTTGGGTCATCAGCCAGTCCCAGGTAATGCCTGGGAACCTGGCACCCCCAGGATTCTTTACAGAAATCCCAACTGGACTTTTCTTGTGCCAAATTTACCCTAACCATCATTGGCCTTTTCATTTTTCTTTAAATGACATTGTCCTATCACATAAAAACCACAAAGAATCATAGCTGGGAGCTCTGATTGTGATTCTCCTGCCTAAGTCCATCGTGTTTTCATGTTTAGATTTCTCTCACTGCATTTAGAAAAGCTTGAGGTTTTGGTAACCTTCCCCCCCTGCACATTTTCATGCACTGATGCACAGAGCTTTAAAGATGAAAATCAAATTACCTGATCTGTGTCTGTATGTATGTCTTAGAAATTGATTTTGTAGTTTCACATTTCAGCTCTGGTTTCTGTGACTCTGCTTGTTGCAGTAACATTTCATATCATGACTTAGCACAGTACCTAAGAAAAGATAACTTCCTTTTTGTAAGAAGTAATTTTGGAGGTGGCTGTTGAGCTGAAGCAGCTCTTCAGGCACTGAGGTTGATCAGGGTTGAAGGGAGATGCATCTTTTGTGTTGGTTTATGCACATTTGGTGTAAGGCTCCTCTTCCTTTTTTCCCCCTTCCTCTTTTCTGTCTCCCTGTTTTCCTCTGCCACGTTTTGGACTGAAGCCAAGCACTGAGCAGAGCACACAACCCTCCTGCTGCTTCACCTTCTCCCACACGTGCACATCCTTCCCTGGTGTGTGGGTCTCCAGTGTTGTCATCCAGCTAAACCCAGACACTCCCTGTTGGTTTGGGTTTGCATTGCAGAAAAACAGGGACAAACTGATGTTTGGGAACTTGGTGTCTAAATCTTTTCTATTAGCCAAGGACTTTATGATTTCTCTGATCTCTTCTGTTGCATATCCCTTTTTGCTTTCCCATTTTAAAGAGCCAAAGGTGCAAAGCAAGATTGTAGATTGAAGATCATCATTTTGCTTTTTAACTCAGTATTTTTAAATTATTTTTAACTTTTTCATACTGAAGAGAATGTGGAGTCAAAATAATAATAATTAATGATAATGAATAGTAGGGAGTAATCACTGCCATTTCTACTTGCTCTACTTTTTTAAAATACCACTTCTTATACATTGGGGCATGGAACTGCAGTTGAAGGAATTTTAAGATTCCTTTAACATACAAAGATGGGGCATAGGAGTTTATAAAAATATTAATAGTGATAATAGTGCCCATGGAGCGTGGCTAGGGAAGGATGTTGTGTATATAGTTGTAAAATGTTCTAAATTATTTAGACCTATTGTCACCATTCTTGAAGTCCTCAGTTGTGTTGCTGGGTCTTTTATATGCACACAGTGTAATTTATTTAAAGGAACATACACTTTTCCAGGTGGTAGCTCAGCTGTGGACTAGTGACCTGTGTATATGTTTTAAGGTCTTGGGAGTTGGTCTATTTTTTTTTTTTTTTCATTTTGTTTGGTTTTTAAATGAGTTTAGAATTTGGATTGGCTGATATCCTGTTGTTGCTACAGAACCTAAATGTTACTGTCAGTCTGCTGTAAAGCACAGATTGCTCTATTTATTGTAGAAAGTGAGTTTATTTGCTTTCTAGAATTGTTTATATCAGATGGTATAAGAGAAGTAATAAGAAAATCTATGCTTGTAAAGAAAAAAAAAAGCTAATTTTACCTACTATAATCTGACTGTCTGAGACTATATTTTCTCTCTGAGAAATAAATGTTCTAATGTATGGAAAAAAAAAGCAAAACAACAAAACATCACCCTCAGAAAGAGTTCTTCCTTGCTAACGTTGTCCTGAAGTCCAGAACTCACTGTGATGGCTTTTAGTGATCCCAGTGGTCCCAGGTACAGGTGGGCAGAGCAAGGACAGGGAACAGGAAGGGGTTTCTTGTTCTGCCTCCACCATGTCCTGTGTCCCCTGTGCAGGGGGTGACACCACTGGGTGCTGCATGGAGAGGTCTCACCTTGAGCTGGTTTTGTTTATTTGTAGGTTTTTTTTTTGTTTAGTGGGAGTTTTAAAATTTCTTTTTTAAATTGATGTTAAACTAAGGACCACTCTGTTTTCTCAGAGAAAAACAACAAAAGGCACACACAAACCAAGTCCAAATGCCTGAGAAAAATAAGTCCACCTTAGGAAAGTGATTTCTTGAGATACTGTTTGGAGTTTTATTGGCAACAAGGTTCTGCCTGTCACATGCTCGACCCTGGCCTCAGTGCCTGCTGCTTTCTTCCCCTGGGAACAGAGAGGGAAACGTGGAGGCCTGGGAGCCTCCAGCCTGGCCAGGAAAGCCCTGGTGGCCCAGCAGAAGTGCTGGGAGAAGCTCAGAGTGGCCCAGCAGGAGTGCTGGGAGAAGCTCAGAGTGGCCCAGCAGAAGTGCTGGGAGAAGCTCAGAGTGGCCCAGATCCATCCCCTCAGGCCTCCCCAGATCCAGCCCTGGCACAGCAGAGGTGCTGCCCACGGAAGGGGCTGGCCCCAGAAACATCCCCAGCTGCTGGAGCTGACAGCACCAGAGCAGGGCCAGCCCACAGGGACGCTGTGGGGGACAGCAGCGAGAGCTGCCCTGGCTGCTGGGGACACAGCAGTGTCCCTGAGTGCAGCCCTGGCACAGCCCTGCCCTGCCCTGCAGGGCCCAGGGGCACTGCCAGCACTGCAGCCCCATGTCTCCAGCGGGCTCTGCCTTGCTTCTGCTGGCAGCTCCCACCTCCTGCACTGCCCAAACCCTGAGAGGCGTTTCTGGCACACCTCGGGCAGAGCCAGCGCTGCAGGAACACATCAGGGTAGAAACCTGCAGCTCTGGAACAACACCCCACCCTCCAGAGGGGTTCAAAACCCTACAACACCACAGCCAGACATCCTCCTCAGGCGTGGAGAGGATGGGGAGAACAAGGGGTTCATGTTATAAATATAAAATCTGCTACAAAGAGAAGACATATATTGTACATCTTTGACCCATATACACAAGAACACAATATACACAGAACGCCTCGGAGGAGTGGGGACGTGGTCAGGAGGTTTTTGAGAGATGTTGCTCCCCTACCAGCACCCCCTCCATGCCTTCCCCACACTCTGCATGGGGCTGTACTCCCAGAACATCAGTCACCAAAAGTTCCACCAGGCTGGCACGCATCATTCCAGGTGTGTGTGGATGGAGTGGTCGTGGCCCCCGTGGTGCCTGCCCTGCTGCCCTGGGGGAGAGGTAGGCGAAGAGGATGGAGAGAAGGAGGGAGGGCAGGCACGAGGGACTCTCTTGTGAACCCACAAAGTGCTTGGGGGGGGTCTCTGGACCCTCCTGGAGCGAAGGTAGGCCCTGAGAGAAACTTCTTGCCCTGCCACCCTCGTGGGGAAGGATTCTGCGGCCAGGCAGGTCTCTGATAAGGCATTTTCATCTGGGACTTGGTGCAAATGGTGTCAGAAGAGAGGAGGGAGCAGATGGGGCAGCGCACGTGGTGCAGGCCAACGGGAGGCAGCAAAGCTGAAGTGGTCCCAGCCAGACAAGCCCAGGACAGGGAGTGCAGAGGACAGGAGGGCTTAGTCTCTGGCTCAGTTTAGCTGTAAAGCTTCCCCCATGTTCTCTCTTGGCCCCTTGAAGCCTCCCTTCCTGGTGTGAGCCACCAGCACGGAGTGAAATACTGAGAGTCATCAAAATGGCACATCCAGGCGCATGGAGTGGCAGACAGGCACACGTTCAGAGTTAAGACAAGAGTTCAGGTGAGCTTTGTACAGCAAAGAGCAGCTGCTGGCTGGAGTGTCCGAGGACTTGGGATGACAAAAATGCCACAGTGATCAGATCGGGCCAGGACAAGGGGTGGGCACAGGAGAGGAGCCAGTCTGGGCTCCTATCGGCGGTAATGGTTTGGGGCATCTGCAAACATGTATTTGAGTCTGTAGGCTTCAGCCAGCAGCAGCCCAATCTCTTCATTACCCCAGTGTATCGTGGGCAGGTTTTGTAGCAACATCAAAAGGCCCTGGAAGAGGGGAAGATGCTTAGTTTGGAGAGGGTGAAGGCAGAGCACGGATCCGGTGCAGGCTTGGGGCTGTCCTGAGCAGCGGCAGCAGCGCTCAGTAACTTTTGCTCACCACACTTGCAGGTCTGAAAGGCTCAGGGACAACATCAAGATGTGTTTGGGAATAGATCTGAACCAGTGAAGCAGCCTAAGGCCCTTGGAATAAGGGTGCTGTTGCAGCTGGGCACAGGAGGGCAAACACTGATCAGAGCTGGAATGGGATGTTTGAACCCTCCAACAGCTCCATTCTCTGCCCTTATTACCAAGGCTTAAGTTACTTCCAGGCAAAGCTCCTGAGACCAGATGATCTTGAAGCCAGCTCTGACAGCTGGCTGTGTCCACTCTGGGCTCCCAACCAGAGCAATTCCCTCCCCTCTACTTCCCTTCCCCAGGGAATCACCCCCAGCCTCAGGGTCTTACTTGGAAGTCTTCCTCATCCAGGATCTCCTTCCGCCACTTGATCAAGAAGGCAGCACAGACGTACAGGTGGAAATGGGAGAATCCTTCTGGCTCTGACTGTGGACAGCAAAACTCTGGGTGAACCCCTGCAGTTCAACTGGAGAACAACCCCCCAGACACAGGTGTGAGCCACCCATCGCCCAGCTGGCTGTAAACATCCTGGGGCCACACTGCTTTGTGTCCCTCAGCACCCCAGCTGGTGCCAGGAGACCTCTGTCCCCGTGGGGACAGGGACACAAGTGACAGTGACGAGCCAAGCAGAGAGGTCAGTGGAGCCTGCATACCTGGTAGGTGTCCCAGAGGCGGATGGTGCAGCGCAGGGGCAGCTCCCTCATGAGCAGGTTGTTCATCCAGCGAAAGGCAAACTGCAGGTACTCGACCTCGTACTTCCTAAAGTGATTATGTACCTGCTCTGAAACAGCACATTTCACTTACACACCTGGGGCTCACAGGGCCCCAGCTCCTGCACGCGGCTCACTGAGGCCTTTTACTCCCAAATTCCTTCTCTCCTCACCCTGTGCTATCACCAGGGGGTTTCTGGCTGACCCTGCCCTGAGAGTTCTCCCAAAGGAGGCCTCCCTCTGCTGTGACAAACCTGACCAGACTCCCGTGTCGCCTACCATCGATCCGGCTGACCAGCTCCTCCAGGGCTTTCACTTTCTTCTGGATCCCTGGCTGTGCAAAGGTGTAATTGTCCTGTGGGGAGAGGCCCTGAGTCAGAAGCAGCAGCTTGAACTAGAAATGATCAAACCCAAATCAGCAGCTGGACAGTTGGGATGAGATTCCCATGAGCCAAGGAGACAGGGCTCATGAGCACCAGGACTGTCTGCCTGCTCTGAGTTCCCTGGTCAGGGTGGGACCATCTGGACAGCCACAGCACCCATCTCCCCAGGATTTCACAGATTAACAGATTTAGTGAAGAAACTAAAGTCACTGAAGTAGCAAAACCTCCCTAATGCTGGAGCATGCAGAACACTCACACACAGGGAGAGGAGACAACCACACTGGCACCCCAGCGAGGGCAAAGGAATTCCCGTGGCCCCAGAGGCTCACCTGTATCCCATCCAGCAGCTTGCTCATGCACCAAAAGCTGTCGGCCTCGATGCTCCGTAAGACATCCTGGGACAGGTTTGTCACGTCAAAGTTTTCCACATCCTCCTCTGCAAAAGAGAGAGAAGGATCAGGGAGATGGAGGACACCAGGGACAACCCCAGGGGCTTTATCAGGCCAAAGCTTTGCAGGAGGCACTGCAACACTCTAATAAAAGTCAGGAGACACAGGTCTGGCCCTCCTGGCTTGACTGACCCATCAGTTCCCTCCCTTTTCTCCCTGGGAAGAGAGCACCCACCACGCTGCTGTCAGGCCACTAAATCAGATCGAATAACAGGGCTAAGCGGGCCCATTTCCAATTTCAGAGGCTCAGCAACCCTGGCAAGCAACCAGGGAGAAGAGATACAGCAAGAGGTGAAAATAGAACTCCAGCCTGGCCCAGGCACTCTGAAGGAAGAGCACATCATCATCCCCTTCTCCAGCAGAGTGAGTTTTCCTCATGCCAGCATTTCACACCACTTCAAGCCCCACTGTCAGGAGTGCTTAGAGCAGCAAGTGTCACTTACCAACATGCTCAGAGAGGAACACAACAAAGAATGGGGTGACCAGGTCATTGATGCCCTGCACATAGCCGCTGGCTGGGTGGCGAATGGCCCAGATAAACAGGATTCTCTCAAAAATCTAGGGAAGAACCAGGGAAAAAGCAGGTACCTGCATTAGCCATGCACAAAGGGAAGGCAGAAAAGCATAACTGCTAAGCATCCCATGGCAGATGCAGGGCAGGAGCTTCACCCCCTTACCTCCTGCACAAGTGGCTGCTGGAAGAGGGGAATGAGTGGATTGGTCCTTGGAATGTCAATGTGGATCTGGAAAAGAAGGTGGGTTACACACACCAGCTGCACTTTCCAGGGGCACAATGACTTGTCACAGGCTAACAGAGGGGAATCCACCATGAGTGTTCCCCCAGGCAAGAGCTGACAAGCACAGTGAGGGCTACAGATGACAGCTGTACTGAGAAAATCATCTGCAGTCTGCTCTGCTCATGTGCAGGCAGGTAGTTCAGAGCTGAAATTTTCCTAAATTACATCAATTTAGGAAAAGCTTTAACAAGGACAGAACCATGGTGCCTTTTGCCCAAAGAGAAGACTCCTAGCTACAGCTAGAGCAAATCATGGCATGACCCCACCCATGGGGCCAAGGAGCAGCAAGAGAGAGGAGAGGGCTATACCCAAAGCAGGAAGGCAGGAGGAGGGTTCCCACCTGTCTGTAGGTGTCCTGGTGGTGCTCCTCGTTCCGGGAGTCGTAGTACTGCTGGATGAAGCCAAAGTACTCCTCCCTCTTCCGCTGCAGGGTCAGCTTGCGGCGCTCTGAGTTGGCAGGGAGGTAGCCCTGCATTGGGAGAACTCAGCTCAGGGCAGAGCCTCCCTCCTCACCAGCCCTGAAATCCTGCCAGCTGTGCACAAGCATCAGGCACACAACTCGGGAGCTGGGGAAAGAGCCTTCAGGGAATTTGGCCTTCCTAGCCCCTGAGCTTGGAGTAATCCGACTTCATCAGGTTCAGTTCCCCAAAAGAGAGTGAACCACCCAGTGCCCACACCAGTCTGGGCTTTGAGCTCCAAGAGGATGCAGCAATGGCACTCCCTGATCAAAAAACCCTACAGCTCACCTGGGCACTGGGAACACACAAGCAAGGCTGGCTATGGGACACAGGGAGGTGCAGGAGCACTGTTCCTGAGGTGGCACAGTCCTCCCAGACTCTGGTGTCACAGCTCCAGTACTTACTGACAGCAGTCTCCAGGTCACAGGCCGGACCTCTCGGGGCACACCAGGCCAGCTGCATTTTCTCAGCTCATCTGCAAACGGACAGTGGTGGCAATGCATTAGATCCTAGGCACGTCCAGGCACCACTACACCTAGAAGGAGAGGAAAGCCCAGTCTGCTCCTGCAGGCTCTGGAGACAATGAGCCTCCAGGAAGGCTCCCACACTAGCAATGACTGGGGATGTGGGTCTGCTGCAAGGAGAGTAGAGATTATTCAGCCCAGCTCGGGCACAGAACAGGGAGCTGGAGGGTCACCAGTGTGCCAGGACCTCAGTTCTCATGCAGAGACAGCCCCAGTGATCCCAACCATCATGTGCAAGATGGACAATGATTAGGGACAGACAGGGAGGGGTTGGAGGACATTACCATCTGCCAACAGGGCAATTCCTGCAAACACCCATCTGCTACAACTGCAGGCAGTGATTTTTTCCGCCCCAAAGCAGACCTGATGCAGGCAGCAGGCCCCTTGTGCCCTCCCCTGCCCACCCTCCTTGTGCCCCACTCACCCAGGTCGGTGTTGTGGCTGGAGAGGAGCTGCCGGAACTTCTCCAGGCGCGTTTTCTCCCGCACGGTCATGGGAGGAGCCCCGGAGGCGTTTTGGTCAGAGATTCGAGCCACAAGGGGAATGACAGGCCGGAGGGGGAGGGACTGCTGCTTCTGCAGGGGGCTCCTCACACAGGCCTCCTCTAGCAAGGAGCAGAGGCTGCACTGAGCTGGGGATGGAGGTTGCACCTCTCCAACCCCACCTCGCTCCCACAGCCACTGTCAGACGCTGCAGATTTTACTCTTCTGTTCCTCAGCACCACTGGCCCACTCCAGTGGATCAGCAGTTCATGGCAATCTCTGGTGCCTCTTCCACCACTTCCCCCCATTTCTGCCTCCTTTCCTTCCTCCTGCATCCAAACACCTGACTGCAAGGGGATCAGACTTCCCTCCACAGGTGAGCAGGACACAGGAGACAAGGCAGAACTGATGTTCAGATCTCTGCTCTCCAGATCCAAACACCAATCAAGCTAATTGCAAGTGCAGAGACAGGAGCTGGTGGGCTGCCAGTGCCATCTCCTGAGGTACTTCAGTGCACAGGCAGCAAGGCAGTGAACAGGGGCTGCTGCTGCCCAATTCCCTGCCCAAGCTGTGTCAACATGACCTCACCCAGACCTTTGCTAAGAGCAGCACACCAAACCACCCTGGAAGCAGACAGTGAGCGAGGCTCAGCAAGAACTGAACAGATCTCAAAACTGACATAGCACCCAGAACATGGAATACTCTGGGGCAGTCATGCCTGTATGCAGGCTGTTGAGCAGCTGAGGACACAAGCATTAAAGCCAGGCCTCTGAAAATGGCTCCTTGGACTACAGGATACTAAAAGGAAGAAAAAGCCTCCGTCGTGCTTACGGGCTGTGTCACAGCTCTTGCCCACACTGGGAGTAGCAACAAGGAGGTGAGTTCAGTGGCCAAGTAGGAGAGCACTGGAGCAGGAGGCTGCTCCTGAAGATGGCTCTTACCAGAGGGCCTGGAGAGCTGGGCCTCGCTGCTGGACTTGATGACCTTGCAGTTGGTGGGGAGGTCCCCGAGGGCAGGCTGGCACCGCTCGGGCTTCACCCGCAGCTTGCTGTGGTTCTCCAGGACCTGCGCTGCCGCGGCCTTGGCCACTTTAGAGTTCAGAGTTTGCAAAGAGGACGAGGAGGAGGAGGAGAAGTCCTCGTCTTCATCATCCCCGATGTCCCAGGCGTCGCTGGTACTGCGGGCAAACTCGTGGAAGCTGGAGGCCTTCTTGCTTTTCATGGGCAGCCCAGTGGCCTTGGAGCGGTCCTTGATGAAGCTGTGAGCCAGAGGAACAGGAGCCCTGCTGTTGGGTGAGTTCATTTTCTTTCCTTTGCCCACGCCCTCACTCCAATCAGCCAATCCCTTTTTCCAGTTTCCCTGCTCCTCCTCCCAGACCTAAGGAATATGTTAAGTCTCTCTGGGCCGCCCACTGTCAGGAGTGGCTGTCACAGTGGCAGCACACAGCTGGAGAGGTGCCAGCCTTCCTGGCTCGGAAGGGCAAACGGGAGACAGGTACAATTCCTCCAGCTCTGCCTTCCCCACCCTACACAAAACAGGTAGATTAACACCCAAAAAAAGGCCTTGCAACCTGGAGAGAGGCATGTCTGAGGGCAGACAGAGCAGGTCTCCTTCCACGGACACTCCCCAAACAGCTGCAGTTGCTCCCAACAGCCAGGCCAGCCTGGGTTTTTCCTCAGGCACAGAAGGAATTTACTCTTTAGCTACAGGAGCCAAAGTCCACCACCTGAAGCAGGGAACTTCCACCACTACACAGCATGAGACAGGGACAAGGAGGCAGTTCAGACCAGGAATTCTGCCTTTTCCTGCTGGGAAGGCTGCTGCAGCTCCCCAGCCTTGTAGCTGCTGGGCAGTTTTACCTCCCTTTCTTAATTCCTCCAGCTCCAAAGAGGAGCAGAAGGATCAGACACTGCTTTAAAAAGAAAAAAATGTCTGTTTCCTTTGATGTGGGTGTTACTGTATGGATTTCTGGCCATAAAGGGCACCAGCAGATAATCTCTCCCTGCAAGCTTTCGCAGAGCTCAAGGCAGCACCACACCCCTTGCACTGCTGTCCTTCTCTGTTGCAATATCACACTGCCAGGGATGCTGGACACCTCCACCTACAGCAGAGCTGCCAGGCCTTGTGGCTGCATCTCCAGGAGACAAACACTTACTTTTTAAACACTTATTTTTTAAACACTTACTTTTTGGTGAGCCGGGAATCCAGTGGAGGATGCTGTGCTCCATAGACAGGCTGAATGCTGCAGGAAGGGGAAAAAACAAAAATCCAAGATGCTGTAAAAAATGGTCCTACAAATAATCTCAGCCTAAATTGGGGTCATGCTTCTTGCCTGCTATCAGGAGCTGAATAAAAGCCCAAAAGCAGCTTCACAAACCTTCTAACTTACAAGCCTTAGATCCAAAGTGTCACATGCAGATGAAGATTTGTTCTTTGCAGTAGCAAAGAGAAGCCTTATTTAAACTCTTAGGCCCAGTCCAGCCTGAGCTGGGATTTGAGATCTGCTCTTTCCTGCACCACCAGCTCACTCCATGTGGCCACATGTCTCATCTACCTGCTGCACACACTGACACTTGTTCTCCTTTCCAGTTTGGGGAACTCACCCTCCCAGGCTCTGTGGGACAGGGTGACACTGGGGCTCCTCCATAAATGTACTCGAGGGTTAGAAGCCCATGCTGGCTCTCAGGATCACAGCCAATGCCATGGAGGAGGAATTCCTGGTACAGTACGTGGTTTGACTCAGGTCCAAATCCCAGTTTAATCAACTACTTCCTATGAGGCCTGAAATGAGTCACCACATCTGGGTCCCTGGTTCTTGGGACTCACGGGACAAGGAGCCTGAGGGCTCCAGGCCCTACAAGGGGAGCATCACCTCAGAGAGGAGCTACTAAAAAAAGCTCATCACTGTTTTTACAGACTCTGGAGGTGAGACAGGGATCCTGAATTATCACCTGCATTGGAGGAACTATTTGCAGCCACCCCACCCTGGAAAACAACCTCTGGAAAACAAGTCCTGCAATGCCATGGCACAGACAAAGGCCCTTTCAGAGCTGGCACACAAGGAACAAGCTTCTCTTGGGTCAATAGAGCTGGCCTGGTTTCTAGGAGCTGCAGATGGTGCCCAGCAGTAAAATCAGCAGAGCCCAGCCACAGAGGAGAGGGATGGCAGCCTGGTGCAGCTGGGAACAAGCTGAGGATGCAAAAGCAACAGGTCCAGCTGGCAGGGGAGAGATGCAGAGAGCCAGGGAAGAGGCTGGAAACAACCACAGCACAGAGAGATCCTGGTGGAGCAGCCCACCAGGGGTGGGCTCACCACTGCAGTGGTTGTCCCTCGTGGCTGGAAGTCCTCACAGAGTTTATCCATCGAGGATTAAGCCTAGGACAGAGTGTGATGACTAATGAGCACCTGGAAGTCAGGACTGCAATTAAGCAGAGGCACCTCCACGGGTGGACATAGCAAAGAGATGATGAGGAGTAAGAAAAACAAGCCCTCCAGAGCAGCATTGCTTCCCAGGGACGTGTGGCAGCTCCCTGCAGCACAGGAGCCAGCAGAGCCTCTCTCTCCCATGCCCAGAACCAAATTCACACTACCCAGGATGTCCAGCAAGGTTCCTCCTCCTCCCTGTCAGAGACCCACAGGCTGCCAGAGGGGAACTGCTTTGACTGGCCTGGGAAGGCCTGGGCTTCACAAGACCCATGAAGGATGTGTGTTAGAGAGAGGAGGGGATGGGCAGCCAGTGCTGGGGGAGGAAACCCTTTCCTGGGGTTCTGAATCAGTGTTTGACACAATGGCAGAGGGTCCCACCTGCACACAGCTCTTTATGAAGCCTTACAAGCCAGACACTCCCCAAGAAGAATCTCAAGCTGATCTAAGCTGTGCTCCCAGCCTGACTGGATGAGTGCCCTGTTCTGTCCCAGTTTAAACTCTTTGGGACAGGCATTTCCTGTTCCCTGGATGCTCAGTGTAGGGCACAGGGGGTGACCAATGGTGTGAGGTACAAAGGCTGTGCTCCCCGTGTGACACCTCCCAGGATCATCACAGGGTGTGGGTTATTGACACTGCAGCAGAGCACAGCCATGAAACACCACTGCCCCTCTGGACACACACACATTTACTTCCAGCAGGCTGTTTCTCCCCTTTTAAAACAGCATTTAAATCACCCCAGCAGACCCTGGCTGCCCATCTCTCTAAAGAGCAGGGAATAAACAACACATCACAATACGCCAGAGCACTCGGCCAACACATCCCTAGAAAATTACCAGGCAGAGAATTCCCAGTGCAAAAAAAACCACAAGACAGCACTGGAAAAACAAAACAGCATTTACCAGTTCTAAACTTACACCTAAAACCCACCCTAAATCTACAGGGAGCAAAAGCTAATAAACTTTATCAGCAAATAAAAGCTAATACAACTAAGTGACCAAACACACAAAGTGTCATGGAAAAGGAAGCTAACACAGTATCCAAGTCCCTACAAAGCCTCCCTCTGCCAGATTGTCAGGGGAAGGAAAGGAGAGAGCCAAGAATCTGTACAGGAGGGTCTCTCAAAGCTCAGACAAAAAAGGAGAAAGGGAGGTTGATGTTTAGTGACCATGGGTGCAGGACATCCCACCTCACCCTCAGTCGGGCTGCTGAGGACTGTTGGTGACTGTGCCTGGAAAGAGCCAGCACACAGGAGGGAACAAGGCTCCTGGATGCAGGAGAGCTGCCAAGCAGGCAGGCAGGAGGAGCAGAGAGCACTGCCAAAACCTTCCCCGTGCAGTGGCTCAGGCAGGCCCGGCTGCCGGCCAGACCGGTTCACCTGGTTTGAGTTTCCAAGGAAAGCTCAGAAGTCACCAAAAGGAGAAGAGGAGAAGGTGCTGTCCATGACCACCAGCTGAGAGCATGGCTGACAGCTTCGGGTAAGAGGCAGGAGCAGCTGGGAAATAACCCGGGGAAAGCACAGGATTCTCCTCCCACAGGGGCAGCAGAGGAGGAACAGAGAGCCCCTTGCTCTCCCTCTGCTTACCACAGACATGGATTGTCCAGCCAACCTGAAGGAGCTGCACATGACATGAAAGCACTTCAGAAAGAGATATTCAACTGGCCCAGCAGGATTTAAAACTTACTAAGCATTTCAGACTGCACCCATACCCCAGGAGGCGAAGGGCAGGGTTCAGATAAGGCAAATGAGAGCAAAAGTGAGGAGCACCAGGCAGGAAAAGCACTTGAGAAGCCTCCACAGAGAGGCTGATGCCCTCTTTCCACATCAGCCTTGCTCCCAAGGCGCTGTAGGGAGCCTCCCCATCAGCACCAGCCTCTTCTTCCCAAGCACCATGTCAATCACTCATTGCACTTGTTTCTCCCATCCCTGAGAGGAACATCACAGCCAGAGGAACCGAGGCAGGCGAGGTACAACCTGAGCCCTCAAAGTCCTTCCCCTTGAGCAGAGGGGGACCAGGAGTGACATCCCACACAGCTCAGGGTAATGTTAGGGTTACCAGGGACACCCCTTTGGGACACAGCTGCTGCCACCCAAGGCGACACCTCTGAGGATTTTGGGAAGGACGAGTTTCCTTCAGTACCTGTGGAAAGGAGGAGGGTACAGCCCTGGCTCTGACCTGCCCCAAAGAGGCCTCCAAGGCACCCTGCTCCCTCCATCCTGCTCCCTCTACGGGGGACACACAGGGGTCCCCGCAGCCCCCACACCGCCTGCCCTGTCCCACACATGAGGGAGCAGCTCTGCCCCTGCCCCTGTCCCCAGTACATTGAACCTTCCAGCAGCAAAATCCCCGTCCCACACCTGGGGTGGCCCTGGCATCCCCCCAATTCCAGGGAGCAACCCCCAACCAGCTCCTCAGCCCCCCAGCCGGGCCAGATCCTCCCGGCACCCCCGACCTTTCCCCTCAGCCCCGAACGAGGCCGCGTGACAGCGCCTTCCCCAGCCGGAGCGCGGGGGGCCGCGGCCCTCACACCCCTTCCCAGGGCTCACCTGCCCGGCAGCTTGGCGCTGCGCTTCCAGAACTGCCTGCCGCTCTCGGCCGCCATGGCGGAGGGCGGGGCGGGCCCGGCGGGCCGGCGGGCGGGGAGCGGGGACCCCCGGCCGGCCGGCCCCGGGCGCGGAGCAAGGCGCGGCCCCCGCAGCCGCCTCAGGCCCGCCCGCCCGCAGCCCGCGCCGCCGCCATCTTGGCTCCGGCCGGGCCCGGCGCCGCCATTGGCCGCTGCGCGCGAGGCGTCGCGGATCCACCAATCGCAGGCGGGCACGGCCGCGACGCGCGATAGGGGGCGGGGCTTGCTACGCCGGTGGGGTGGGAGAGACCATGCGGGGCGCGGGGGGGAACGCGGGCGGTACCACCCGGCTCCTGCCGGGGGGCTGAATGACATTTTCGGGGTTTTTGGGATTTTCTGCTTTTCCAGGGAATTCGCGGCGCGGTTGCATCCCCGCCCTGGATCCCGCTCGCCTGTCGTGTGGGGTTTTAGGTCCGGTGAAGTGCCTGCTTCGGTCTGACACCTGGAACAGTTTCTGTTCAGACTTTTAGAATTAAATAAATTAAAGAAATAAAAAATTTAAATTTTAATTAATGGCATTTTCTGCACCAGACGCTATTACTTGTCTTCTTTTTATTTATAGTGCAAAAAGCCCATAAATAGTGCTCCAGACTGGAGTTACACCTCTCATATTATTACTATTATTCTCCACCCCATTTACTCCCATATGGAGCAATGAAGAATAATTATCAATGAGTAATTATGCAAATAGTCTATTGTATATGCAAATTAGGGGACAAAATCTTTTCCTACTGCCACCCCATAGCAAATACCAAACACCTGCAGCACAAAGAACTGCAAAAAAAGCAAAAATAAATGAAAAAGAAAACCACACACATGTAGAAAACAAGAGTATGTGTACATTGTAAGAGTCAAAACCCGAACCACAAGCCCTGCCTGTGTGGGATTTCCCCTTCCCAAGACCCTTCTCTGTGCTTCCTGCATGCACATGGCCTTGGAATGCTACACAATGGCTGGATGTGCTGGGTGTAAACATTTATCTCCTGCACAGCACCTTCACACACACTCCTGAGGTTCTGACTGCAGACACCTGCAAATCACTCATTATTTTCACACAGATCTTAAAACCCAACTCCAGTTCACGGCCTGTTGGTTCTGCACGGACTAAACCAGGGTCTTGGTTGGCTTTCAGGGGTGTGAGCCAGATTTTACCCACAAACATGCTGCTGTTCTGGAAAATAAATGCAATTTATTATTGGATATTGACCCCTCCATTCCAGTAACAGATGTTCAAAAAGATGGTATAAAAATCATCAATTGCTGTAGAAACCGTTGGTAATGATGAAGTGCTTGTCCTGCAGGTTTATTTGCACATTTTGCTATATAAAAATGTCACCTCCTTTTACATCTCACAATTTTTCCTTGTACAGAAAATAGCTGTAAACAATTTACTACCAAAAATTCTTCTGCCATTTCACCCTCCTGTGAAGGAACGAGAATTTCCTCAGTTTTTGCTCTTTTCTCTACTAATAAATAGAAGCTATTGGAGCCGTGAAATGTTGCAGAAGCCTTCAAATGTTCTCTTGCTCTCCATGACCTTTCTAAGCATGAACCTGAGGAAGTCTTTGCCAAAACTGGTTTTCCCCCCAGATTTCCTGTCCAGGTGTTCGGGGTGAGGCTCTATTGCAGTGCTGGGCTGCAACAGAGCACAGAGCAGAGCTGCTGTCCCAGCCAGGACAGGATGGAGCTGAGCATTCCAGGGAACAGATGTGGCAAAACATCCTCCAGCTCGTGACCACTTCGCCTGTAGTGTGTGTTGAAAGGTTTTTCCTCCTGTAACCGCTGTCCTCCAAAAACACTGATCATTTCTTTGCAGCACAAGCCACCAGCAGGATTTGGGATTGGCAGCAGGGAAGGGGAATTCACCTGGTGCATCCTGGGCTGCTCCAGGATGGAGGCAGAGCCTTGAGCACACAGAGCTTTAAGGAAAGAAAAGTTCTTCAGCACAGCCAGCTCAGTGCAGCAAAGGATTCTCAACCTGGAATATTCCAGTGCAGCCCCAGGAAGGCTGACTGGGCCAGGAGGGCTCAGTCCCTCCTTGCCACATGCCCAGGGACCAGATTTTACAGAAACCTGGCCCCAGCCACAGCCACTGGTGTCCCCCCAGCTGCAGCTCTGGTATGGCTTTAGTGTTTGGTGTCCCACAGCAGTTCCTGCTGGTTCAGTGGCAGCTGCCAGGATTTGGCCCCATTAATCCAGTTTTTCTGTGCATGCCATGGGATGACATCACTGATGAGACCAGTTCACTCTGGATGTTGTAGAGCAGTAAAGCAGAAAGAAAACTTCTGATGCATACACTGGGAATCTGTTTAAAAATTGGAATTACAGATTTCTGTCAGTTTTCTTCTTTCTGCCCACGCTGCTGGTTCTCTTCTCTGGTGTCTGGTGGAGATGTCCAGGGCTGATGTTCTGCCAGTTCATGGTTTAATTTTCCATAACTGCAAAGAGATAAGAAAGGGAGTTTGGGTCTAACAGGAATGGTCTTCATCTCCAAGCAACATTCTGTGTCTCCTGCCCATCCTGCTCTGCTCAGTGAGCTCCAGTTTCAGGACGAGCCACAGGAGGACTGGGATAAAGAGAGGAACCCTGGATTCTCACAGCTTCACCTGAAGGGAACTGAAACTGAAGTGAGCCCTGTCCTTCCCCCCAGAACTGGCTCAGGGAGGTGGGGACACACCCAGCAGGTTCTGGTGTTTGGGTTCCCAGTGCAAACCCAGGCTTCTCTCAGGGCTGTGGCCCCAGGAGTGACCCCAGAGCTGTTCTGCTGGCTGGCACAGGGACACTTACTCTGATATTGAACCCCAGCAGGTCACTGATCACTCCTGAGACAGCAGAGAGGATGACAACCCGTGTGATGTTGTAGATCAGTGGGTTCATGGTCAGTCCATACAGCCTGAAAGGACTATCCAGCTCCTGCAGTGACAGGACAAAGGTCCATTAGCACTCCCAAATACCAAAGAATTCATCCTCTGACTTTTACCTTAGCACTGGCACTCCAACAAGCTGGGCTGCCTCTGTGTCCTTTCTCAGATACAAGTACAGGAACTGTCAGTGCTCCAGAGACATCTCCTGCTGAATCAAAAGTCTCTGCAGCACCCCAGCTGCCCCAGAGCCTGACACTCCAGGCTGCAGAATCACCCAGCCCAATCCATGGACTCTCAGACTCTGCTCACTCCTTCCCAATCCTCTCCCTGCTGCTGGCAGTGAGCTACAGCATCAGAGCTGCTGCAGAAAAACGAGACTGAGCAGTCAGGAGAAGCTGTGCTCACCCCAGCCTCTCCTCTCACTTAGTTAAACCACTGCTCATCGAGTTCTCAGCACTATACCCACACTGGCCTTGTGCTGCTCCCTTTCCTGTCCCAGCTGCAGCAGCACTGAAAACCCCCTCTGTGAGCACTAACTCCAGGAGCCAAGGGAAGGCCACATGTCATTGCCACAACTCCCTGCTGCCATCAAATCCAGCCATTCAGGCACAGCATCTCACCTTCAGCAGCTTTGTGGACAGTTTCAGCACATTGTTCACCAGAGAGAGCTGCTCCTTCTTGTTTGGCTTCTTCTCCATCTTCAGGTACAAGTTTATCTGTGACAAACACCACAGGCCAGGGGTTGATATTCCAGCACTAGCCCACAACTGAGTCCTATCTAAGGGAAATTGGAGCCATTTTTGCAGTCTGCTGTCACTCCTGAAGTAGTGAATTTAGCACTGATAACATCATTCTTTTCCAATTGTTTTGGCTAACACACATGAACCCAGAGACAAAAATAATCTAGAACTTTGGAGTTTGAGTCTGGCCCACCAGGACCAGCTCATCCCTCCCAAGCTGACCAGTGCTTTGTTGCCTTCTGGCCAACACAAGGTTTGAAATACAATAATTATATCCAAACAAACCACAAAGCCCAGGGGAGAACAAGCTGAAGGGAGCTACCTGCTCAGTGAGCAGGATGGAAATGTTGCTGTATTTTTTGTTGGTCTCAGAGCCCAGAGATGCCAGACGTAGCAGAAAGAGGAGCAGTGCTGCCTCCCACATCAGGAACTCCCAGTTGTAAGCTGCACTCAGAAAGGTTTTGTGACCCTTAAGAACCTGTATGGGGAGAAAACAAAGCACCAAATGTCATTGACAAAGTGCCTATTCTTGGGACAAGAGCACAAGCACTACACTTGCTCCACCTCTGCCCAGCCCTGTGTGCTCTACAGCCACTGACAGCTCTTCCCAGGAAGTGTAAATCACTCCTGAGATGGGGTTACAGGGAAAGGTCTCATTTCTAACCTGCCTTTAGCTTGGAATTGGATATTTTTTCCTTCTGTTCAGAAAAAGAGCCTTATTCCTCCTCTTCCCTCCTTCTATCCAACTAACAGGCAATGAAGACAATTTCCTTGTCCCACTGACAGTCCCAGCCAAGCCTTTTGTAGGCTGGTGAAAGAAAAACCTCCAGCACTTGGGAGGGTTTTCCCTACTTTATAAACCACAAAGGTTAAAATCTCACCTGGGCACAGCAGATAAAAGCAATTGAAAGAGCCAGTAAAAAGACTGAGGACACCACAACATCCACAGACCTCTGGGGGCCTCGTCTCTGCAGGAACAAGGAAACGGGGTCAGGGCTGAGTGTGGTGTGCAGGCAAATCCCACCACAAACAGCTGGCACTGGCACTGGCACTGGCACTGGCACTGGCACTCCCTCTGCAATAACCAAACCCCAGATCAGAACTCACCTTCAGGTAGGAGCGAAGGGATAACCAGATCTTGATGTTCTCCACCTTCTTGAGCCTGAAGTGAGGGATTTCATATTTCCTGGCTTTCCTAGCAGATGTAATGTGACTGAAGAGCTTGGCAAACAAAAACCTCTGCAAGTTAAAACCAGAACCATAAATTAGTGTAAAACAGAACAGATTGTTTGGGATTCTTAGTGGTACCAGGCAAAAAGGGTCACTGGGGAAGCTCAGCATGAGACCTGGGTGCTCA